CAGGAAAGACGTGGAGATGGTGTTTGAAAAGAATACCGGAGGAGTGCAAAGTTGGAAGCAAGGTGAAAACAGATTCCAAGTTGACTTTGGGGAATAACTTAAGCTGAAGACAAACTCTGAGATGGCACCTTGTGCAAAGGTGGTTTACTGGTTTCAAAGGGAGAGAGAGGAGCGGGGCTGGGCAAAGGGGAAAGTGAAAATACACTGCAGTTGCAAAAGAGGCTCAGCAGAACCCATGGGTGTTCTGGAGCTGAAGGAGCTCCAGAGTGGTCCTGTACCAGGGTGGTCCCCAGAAAAGGGGAGGTTCCAGGCCCCACCCCAAGGAGGGTGGAGTGGGCAGGGAGGAGAAGACTCTAGAGAGGGACTGAAAAAGAAGGAAGCAGGATGGCAACCAGGAGACCTGAGGGAGGCACATGGGGCAGAGAGACATGTGAAGAAGCAGCTCTTGTTTCTTGGTCCTGGACTGGTGAGATGCAGGTGAGAGCCCCATAAGGAGGTAGAAATGGCAGCTTTTATCTTGATTTTGATTTTCCTCTTTTCCTCCCAGGCTTGGAACCCTTTTCCTTGGGACCCAATGGAAGGTGGTTTAGACTTGTGAAGGGTTGTCAGGCCTTGCTTGGACCAGTCCCTTTTGGGTGGACTTTTACCCATGAGGGGATGGGGAACATTGAGTGTTTGATTTAGAAACTATATTCTTTTTATTTTCTGTATTGCACAGATTGTATTAAAGTTCCTTTCCAGGGCCCTCCCTGGTGGCACAGCACTACACATCTAGCTGCAGCCATTTCAGCACGAGTTTGATCCCCAGCCAGGGAAGTAACCCACATGGCCTGGCAGACTGTCTTGCCCGCTGCTCCCCTCAGCAGTTGCTTCATCAGTCTGCTCATTCTGCTCCCCACTCTGTCTCTGGTGAATCTTCTCACTGCCCCTGCACATCTGGCCTGTACCCCAGCTCTATATACATAAATAGATAAATCTTTTTAAAAAACAAAAAAAGAAAAAAGAAAGTTCCTTTCCATTAAAAGGTCTTATATGTTTTGTCTTGATGCAGCAGATGGCAGAACCTACTTGATTTGGGGCTCCTGGGTTGCCCCTCTCTCTGCTCAGTGTAGTCCCACGCTGAGGCAAAGGGGCCAGGCCTTTGTACTCTTGCCTCACTCTGTATTTCTGAATACATGTTAACTCAGAAAATAGGTGCTGCCTGTAACAGGACACTGCCGTCACCACAGGTAGGCCTCAGGGAAGTACTCAGCTCTGTGTCACCAGAAGCCAACACTCAGGACTGGGACACTGAGCTCCAGCACTCGGAAGGACAGTCTGGGAAGCACAGTGGGGGTGGGGAGGGGGTAGAGACATCCGCAGGGCCCTGACTGAGAGGATCCTGAGATAGTGAAAATGCAGACCTAGGCAAGGCCAGGCACACCCCGCCCCCTGCTGGTGTGCCATGGACGCTGGCCAGTTAGGCCACATTTGGACAAGCTCAACAAATATGTGTAACAAGTAAGAGGAGTCAGCAGTGCAAGAAAATCCTCTCGTGAGCCCCTTGCTCAGTCTGCCTAAATTTAAGGAAGTTGGGGGCGGAATCAGAAACATCGGACTCATTCATTCTTTCATTCAACCGACACTTCCAAAATGCCTATTGTCGACCAGGGTTGACTTTGTAAGTGACAACTGAAGCCAAGGATTGTGGGATTTGAGGAGGGGTTGCCTTGGAGAAGAAATAGAAGTGAGGCAGAGGGAGAAGGAGTGAGAGAGAGCTGGACCGCGCTGATCTTGCAAAAGGCCACAGAGGCTTTGCTAGTAGCCAAGGGGCTGAAACTGTTCCTGGTTTGCTGTGGATACAGCCTGACTTAGCTACGTGAGTGAGGCTACTTGTCAGGTCATTTGGCAGCTGTGGATGCTGTCCTGATTGTCTCCTCTGGTGCTGTGCTGAAGACTCCCGCAGCTCCAGGAGCGTCTCCAGTGGTGTCTTCTGTTGTCTTCATGAGTTGGAACCTGGCCTGGAGTCCAGCTGCCGTGTGCCCCAGGTCAGCAGAGGCAGGAAGACGCCCTCTTAGACACGTGCCTGTTGTTCCTGAGAGGAGCTGCATATCCTCAGTGGCAGGAAGACGCCATCATAACGGTCATTTTTGCAGGACACCACTTCAGGGTAAATGGTCATTGTTGGCCTCAGTAACTCTTGTTTCTCCTGTGTGTTAAATAAATCCCTTTGTTGTTATTTCCTAAGCCTGAGCAACTGTGCGCATGGGTGAACAACCCACACAATATTTGGTAAGGTATTTGGGCAGCGGGGCCTTGGCCATTTTAGGGTCCCCTGATACCCGGTATCAGCTTGAAGCTAAGAAGGAAAGCAAGACAATGGTTTGGGTCCTTTACTTGAGGAGCTAACACTCTAGTAAGGATTGTAGATACAAAAACAACTTTAATAAAGTGTGCTACATGCAAAACCATAGATATGTACATGGTATAGACCCAACACACAAGAGCTAGATGTTAATTCTAGGGAACAAATTAACTTCATATAGAAGGTGGTATTTGAGCCTGAAGGGCAGATGGCTCTGGAAGCTGCAGGGTTTGCTGTGTAGGCAAGAAGATGGCAAATAGGGAGGTGGGGGCGGTCATAGACAAAAAGGAGTCACGTTTTGAGGAACATCAGCTGCCATATGATAGGAAGCCATGAAGGGATTTTAAGCCTGAGAGCGATGCGATCACATTTTTTAAAAAATGATATGTCAAGGAGACTGTATAGGACTGCAGGGAAAAGAGCCAACATGGTTATTGATGTCAGAAAGAGTGGGATTCAGATTCTATTTTCCCTGCTGCTCAGCTGTGTGAGTTTGAACAAATGATTTAGTTTTTCTAAGTCTCAGTGTTCATATCTGTAAAATAGGCTGTTGTGAAACCAAATTGACTAAATATATAAAGCCGCTAGCACAGAGCCTGGCACTGATGCTCATACAGTGAGCATTATCCCTCTCTTACCTCTCCAAAGCGAACTTATTGCAAAGTTTGGAGGTTAGGGAAGGTAGCTCAGTGGGAGGGAGACAGAGGGGTGGCATTTGGAGAGGCAGGAAGCCAAGAGGTGGCTTGGAAGCTATCACCTGAATCCATCTGAACTGAGCTCAGGACTTACCTGAACTAAGCTTAGCAGTGGTCATGGAGATAGATAGGAGAGCTAATTGTGAAATACAAATCCAAAGGTCCTGATGTCTAATTGGTTATGGGAGATAAAAAAAAGGAATAGTCTAGACTGACCCAGATTCCTCTGGGGCAACTATCTGAATGGTAGTACCATTTGCTGAGAGAAGGGGCATAAGAGCAGGAGCAGGATTAAAATGATGATCTTCAGGCCCTCCCTGGTGGCACAGTGGGTTCAAGTGCAGCACTATGAAGCTAGCCCAGCTGCTTCAATGTGAGTTCAACCCCCAGCCAGAGAGGTGACCCACTTGGCACAGCAGGCCTTTCCTGACCCGCCCGCTGCTCCCCTCAGCAGCATACTTGTCAATCTGCCTGTTCTGCTCCCCACTCTGTCTCTGGTGAATCCTCTCACCGCCCCTGAGCCTCTGGCCTGTACCCCAGTTCTGATTGCATAAACAAATAAATCTTTAAAAAAAATGACAATCTTCAGTAAGCCGACCTTGCTGCCATACGGGTCAAATAGGTGGCCAAAGGAGCAGCTATTTAGTAGCTAGTGAATGTGAACAGAATTTAGGTGTAGGAACTGGAGAGGAGTCCCAAGCACATATCCTTGAGGTTGCATGCAGGATGGAGCCTGGCTGGAAGAGATAAGTACTGGCAGCAAACCCAGTGCTGGAGGTCAGCACTTCCAGTCCCACTCTATTCCAGCGCAGAACTCTGAGAAGTTGAAAAGCAAGATGGTTTTTGCTGCAAATGGCAAAATGCCACTTAAAATTATGTTGGGCAAGAGAGGAAATTTATTGACTTCTATAACTGAAATCAGGACTCTGCCCTCTTCAACCCTCTGCTCTCACTGCCTCTAGGCTGGCTTCTGTCTCCTGCAGGTTCCTGCTTGGCAGCGCCAAGCTGTCACACAGCAGCTCCAGGTTTATATTCGACCAGTTCATTTTGAAAATTTACAGAAAAGTCTCTGAGAAGGAGGTCCTGCTAGTCGCTGAACATTCCCAATCGCTGTGGCCAGGGTGAGGAATGCATAAAGGAGCCAAGCTGATAGCCTATACCCCAGCGATGCGCGGGTGAGGAAGTGGTCCCCAAAGGGGCAGCAGGGTGCTATTAACAGAAAGGGGGAGTGGATGCTGGGCAGATGCCTGTGACAGGCACGTTGAGTTTGAGGTTCTCTGGCATTTAGGGTGATAGCCAGTGCCCTCAAGTTGAAGAGCGTTGTCTGGATGGAGACCTAACTTGAGAGGTTACCCGGGAACTGAATGGTGGAGCTTGAATGGGGCAGGAGACTTCCCCAAGGCAGAGTCTCCGCGCAATGACTGGGGCAAGGCGCTAGCGGAGACTCGGGTGGAGAGATACCATCCTTCCACGACAAGGCTGAAGAAAGTCTCGATCGGGGACTGAGGACTGAGAAACAGGGGCTTGGGAGTTGGGGCTATCGAGACCTTATCTTTGGGGGCCTGTTCTGAACGCTCAGTCCTTAGGAAGAACGGAAAAAGCAATGCCTAACCCCGGGTTTCTAGACCCCCGGCCCCAGGCTCCCTCCCAGGGCCTCGCCCGGCTCCGCCGCCGCCGCCGCCGCCCCCATTCCCAGCGTGTTTGCCACCCTTCAGCTCCCGGTCTCTGTCTCCCGGGAGCAAGAATGCTCAAAGTTACATCATGTGCAGGGGGCGAGGCGGAGCGGGGGCGGGGTTTAGGGGAGGGGGGTGCCCAGGAGCGGACCCTGTCTTCCAATGGGAGAGACGAGTTCTGGAGTTAGATGCCGAAGTGGTCCTGGCTGGGCGGACCCCGCGCCCGGAGCCCCCGCGCCGCGTCGCGCCGGGTGAGCTGGGCGACCGGCGGGCGGAGAGAGGGTCGCCTCGGCCCGTGGTTCCGCCCCTGCGCTCGCCCGCCTCCTTTTTAGGCGCCTCCCGCCCAGCCCCAGCTCCGGCTCGCTGCGCCGCGCGCCCTCCGTCCCTCCTTCCATAGCTCCCCGGCTCCGCTCCGCGTTCGTGGCCACCCCGCAGCCCCCACCCAGGTGCCATGGCCGCTGTGTACCGCCCCGGCCTGCGGTGAGTGACCCCCAGCCCGGGGCCGACCCGCACCTTCCGCCGTGCTCGCCCCCTCGGGGCTGCGGGTAGCGCTCTCCTGCCGGCTCCCCTCCGCCTGGGTCGCCATCCTAGGAGGAGGGCAGGGGCGAGGGGCTCTAGATCTCTGGCATCGCGGGCAGCGAGTCTCCCGGAGATCTAGGGCGTCGGCAGCCGCTGGGTCTCGCGGTTTCCGCGCTCTCCTCCCCCTCCCCGCTTGGCTGGTCTCTGATCGCACGTCTCTGCCACTCTCAGAACTTCCTTCCCCCTCCTCTTGCGCCCGGCTGAACCTTGTCTCCGGGTCTCCTTCTGCCTTTACAGGCCTAACCTTGCAGCCCCAGGTAGTGATGGGGGCGCAGCAGGGTCTGGGTCAAAGGTGCTTGGCCCTCTGGGGACTAAGTTCACAGCTCCTTCAAGAAGGTAGAAGGTAAACAAGCATTCGCGGCCTCCCTCGGACTGGAACCTGGCGGGAAGCCCGGTGCAGCCAGGGGTGCCTGGGGCCAGGGGAAGGAGGGAAGGTGGAGGCGGGGGCAGAGCTGCCTTCAATTCTTACACGGCTGCCTTCATCTCCTGAGGCCCTGCTCAGCTGTCCCCTCCCTTCCCTCCTTGCACAGCTTGCTGTCTTCTCTCTATAGACTGACTTCCTTCTACCCGGCTTTGTCCTGGAGTGTAGGCTGACCCCCATCTCGCCTATAGCTGGTTCCAGTGGGTGGTCTCTGAGCTGATGGAAAGGAGAAAGTCCGATAGGGGACTGAGCGGGAGGAGGGGAGCTTCACAAGAGACTTCCTGAGCCAGCCCTCCTCCCGCTCCAGATTGTGTGCTTTCAGATTAATGTTCAGAGAAAACCTCTCTCACCGGCTGGTCCCAAGAGCCCTCCTCTGCCCCAGGGCCACGCTGGGTTTCCATCCTGCTCTGGAGCAGAAGCCACCCCAGCTCCCACATCCTTAATCTGAGCTCGTTCCCTTCCCCAGGCTGACATTCTGAGTATGAGCAATACAGTCTAATTTTCCACCCTTCCACCAGTACCCAAAACTCTAGGCATGTGTCCTCAAAGAAAGGGAGCCAGGGTAGGTGACTGTCTCTGGGTGTGGAAGCACAGCTTCTGAAGGGCGAGGCTCTGGTTGAGAAAGAGAGCAACACCCCTCTCTTGGCCTTTGCTCTCTCAGGGTCTCTCCACCCGGGGTCCAGGCCAATCAGAGCAGACCCTGCTTCTGCCTCTCCCAGGGGTTTGAAAGGACCGACAATAGGGACCCTGCCCTCCTGGGAAGAAGGGCAGGAATCCCAGCCCCTGATGTTCCCCAATAGTCAACCTCCACATCTTAGAAGTACCTGCCCAATAGCAACATTTTTTGCAATCTTTGTTGACGCAAGTGGGCCCCAGCAGATTTAGTGCCTGGAACCCCAATATTCAGCCACCCACTCTTTATGCAAGAGTCTTAATCTAGAGACCTGACACTGTGCCATGTCAAATACTGGATCCTTTGCTTAAGACTGGCAGTCTTAGAGCATTTACCAGGAGAAGGAGTAATAAAAATAGTTGCCTTTTTCTCTTCTAAAAACTATACTTGAGAATGAAAAGAACAGGATGACAGTTTTAGACATCAGACACATGGAGCTGTCACCTGGACAGTTTATTGACATTTGGGCCATTGAGCACCTGCTCATTTCTAAATATTGACCAGACATAGTTAAATATGGCCACAGGCTAAGCCTGCAACATCAGCCCGCTTATATAAACACCTCCACATAGCCAGGCATTTGGCGGTCCCCACCCCTTGCCGACAAGAGGACATCCTGAGCCTCAGAAAAGCCACAAGATGTATGTGGCCTGAACCCACCCCAACAGCTGCTCTTCACTCCAACCTGCTTTTCACTGCATCTCTCCCTGACCTGCTTTCACGTGCTCCCCAGAAGCATAAATTTCCACCCCCATGAGAACATCTGCTCATTACCTCTCTGCTTCTTCTCTCACAGGCTTAGCCAGCATGGACTGAGTCCCTGGGGCCGGTCACCACGGCGCAGCATCCAGACCCTGCGAGTACTCAATGGAGATCTAGACCAGCTACCTGCTGGGGTCCGAGACTTTGTGGAGCGTGGTGCCCGCCTGTGCCAGCCAGAGAGCATCCACATCTGTGATGGGACGGAAGCTGAGAATACCGCCACACTGGCCCTCCTGGAGCAGCAGGGACTCCTCCGAAAACTCCCCAAGTACAACAACTGGTAAGCCCCAAGCCCTGCACCCTGCAATAGGGGGCAGCTGGTTGGATGAAGATCATTTTGGGTTTATAAAGATAAAATCTATTGTTCTCATTTTTATTTGTTTATGCATACGAGACCTGGGGTGTAGGCCAGAGGTGCAGGGAGCGGAGTGAGAGGATTCACCAGTGACAGAATGGGGAGCAAAACAGGCAGATCTACTGAAATACACTGCTGAGGGGAGCAGCAGATGAGACAGGAGAGGTGGCCCATGTGGACTAGCTCCTCGGCTGGGGGTCAAACTCATGCAGCAGTCGCTGGCAATAGCTTGATAGCACTGGGACTTTAACCCCTGTGCCACCAGGGAGGCCCCAAAACAAAGTCAAATTTCACCAGATCACCCCAACCCCAATAGAATGAGAGCTTTGGGGCAGACAGAAGCAGAAATTATTGGGAATGGTCTATGGTCCAGTTTGGGTTTTTTTTTTTATGTTAAATGAAGAAGTGGATACAAATAAAAGCCTTTGCTTTCTTTCCTTTTTTTTTTTTTTAACTCACAAGTTCCAGGAGTTTTTGCCAGGGACAGTGGCCTTTAGAGGACCAGGACTGAGGAAACTCTCCCTTAGATAGGACAAAACCTGAAGGAAGCAACTGAGATACAAATGGGGGGGGGGCAGGGTAGGAGGGTTGCCAACAAAAAACCTGAAGTCACAGTTGGACTCAGAAAAGTGGGTCTGGGAACTAGGGATCTGCTGGCCACCGTTCTCCTGATAACCCCCTCTTCCCCAGCTGGCTAGCCCGCACAGATCCCAAGGATGTGGCCCGAGTTGAGAGCAAGACAGTGATTGTAACTCCTTCTCAACGGGACACAGCGCCCCTCCCGGCCGGTGATGTCCGGGGGCAACTGGGCAACTGGATGTCTCCAGCCGAGTTCCAGCAGGCTGTGGATGAGAGGTTTCCGGGCTGCATGCAGGGTAACAGGGAAGGGCACCGAGGCAGGGATGCTGAAGGTATGAGCAGGTAGGGACCTTCCAGTCAGGTGCTATTTTTTCCCACAGGCCGAACCATGTATGTGCTTCCATTCAGCATGGGCCCGGTGGGCTCCCCACTGTCTCGCATCGGAGTGCAGCTCACGGACTCAGCCTACGTGGTGGCCAGCATGCGTATCATGACCCGGCTGGGGACGCCTGTGCTTCGGGCCTTGGGAGATGGAGAGTTTGTTAAGTGCCTGCATTCTGTAGGCCAACCTCTGACAGGGCAAGGTGGGCACCCAGTGCCAGGGGCAAACACAGAGGCCTGCTTGCATGCTGAGGGAACCCCAAGTCCTCCCACATCTCCTTAGTGAGACACCTAATTCCCAAAACTGCACAAGACTGGGAATATCAGTTATACATGTCCAGGTTCCTGGGAGCTGATGGACATTACGAGTAGGGGACTTCAACCACCTGCTGCCACTGCTCCCCAATCTTTCCTGCTAACCCCTCCAGTCCCTATTCCCTTTTGCTGATGCCCCTGCCAGCAGCCCCATGACCCCCTTGTCTCCAGGGGAACCAGGGAGCCAGTGGCCATGCAACCCAGAGAAAACCCTGATTGGCCATGTGCCTGACCAGAGGGAAATCGTCTCCTTCGGCAGCGGCTATGGTGGTAACTCCCTGCTGGGCAAGAAGTGCTTTGCCCTTCGAATCGCCTCTCGGCTGGCCCGGGATGAGGGCTGGCTGGCAGAGCACATGCTGGTGAGGACCGGGTGAGGGTCTGGGCAGCTTGGGGATGGGGGAGAGGGCAGGGCAGGAACGGGGCTGGCCAGTCAGCCTTAGCCTCCCCTCCCGACTGCCAGTGCCAGGCTGTTGGGCAAGGACTCTGCCTAATTGGCCTAAAACACTGCCCTGGCTGCTGGATGTTGGGGGGCCTCCCCTTGAGTGGCAAGGCAGCGCACCTGTTTAGTGAATAAACATTGGTCCTTCCTGTTAACCCCTAGCTATCCCGATGTAGATCATGCCTGAACTTTGTTCCGACGTTCATCATGCCCTTGTTCTCTTTCTCAACATGCAGATCCTGGGCATCACCAACCCTGCAGGGAAGAAGCGTTATGTGGCAGCCGCCTTCCCCAGTGCTTGTGGCAAGACAAACCTGGCCATGATGCAGCCAGCCCTGCCAGGCTGGAAGGTGGAGTGCGTGGGGGATGACATCGCCTGGATGAGGTTTGACAGTGATGGTGAGAGGCTCTGAGATCATTCTCTCAGTTCTGGCTTGTAGTAGAGCAGAAGACTCTCCCCACCACAGGTAGCTTCTCCTGAACAACCAACCCTACCTCTACCTCCCCCAGTTACCCAAGAAACACAAAACCTCTCCCCGGCAGATCTAGGGTCCAGCTGCGGGCAGGGAGAGGCAGGACAGGAGCATCCCGGGCCATCCCACTCAATTCTTCCTGGACGGGCCTTTTCTCTCACTTCTCCTAACAGGTCGACTCCGAGCCATCAACCCTGAGAATGGCTTCTTTGGGGTGGCCCCCGGCACCTCTGCCACCACCAATCCCAATGCCATGGCCACAATCCGGAGTAACACCCTTTTCACCAATGTGGCTGAGACCAGTGATGGTGGTGTCTACTGGGAGGGCATTGACCAGCCTCTTCCACCTGGTGTCACTGTGACCTCCTGGCTGGGCAAACCATGGCAACCTGGTAGGTGGGATAGCAGGAGCTGAGACATGGCCCTGTGGGCTCCGCACCTTGTTGCTAGCGAAGCCTTGTCCACAACTGTAGCCGTCATCCAGGGCTCCAGGAAGTACTGGAGGTGATGAGAGCTTGCATTTTCTGACCCAGGCAAGATCTCAGTCTACATCCCAACTCCACCAACTGTGAGCACTGTGACTTGGCCACATTGCTCCACCCCCACCCCACCCCCGAACTACAGTTTCCCCATCAGCTGAAGGGGACTAGTTATTACAGCACGGGCCTTATAACGTTGTTGGAGGGCTAAGTTTTTCTTTTTTAAAGATTTATTTTAATCTATGCATACAGACAGAACTGGGGTCCAGGGCAAAAGTGCAGAGGGTGAGAGGATTCACCAGAGACAGAGCGGGGAGCAGAACAGGCAGATCAAGTGAAATACACTGCCGAGGGGAGCAGCGGGCAGGTCAGGAGAGGTCTGCTGCGCCGTGTGGGTCACCTCCTGGTTGGGGATCGAACTCATGCCGCAGTGGCTACCATAGCTTCATAGTGCTGCTCTTTAACCCATTTCGCCACCAGGGAGTGCCCTGGAGGTCTAGATTAAATAACACATGCCCGGAGTTTAGCACAGTACTGAAAACGTAGTAAAATTTCAATAAACATGCTGGATCTTAAAAAAGAAAGGGAAAGACTGTGTAGCCCCTAATGGGGCTAAAGCACAATCCATAAAATCACTGTTAGGAAAGGAGGAAGCCTGGCCCTCCTCCTGCCACTTGGCCCCCTGCCATCCCCTCATAGTCACCATTGTCTAAAGGTCAAATTATAACCCTCACCCTTCCCCTGTCCCTCCAACACATACACCCAGCCCTTCTTCCAAGCAAAAGTCAGACCAGCCTGTAGCCTGTCCTGGAAGCTAGCTTGTCCACTCTATCATTACCCCAGGGGCCTGTGGCCCTGCCCCTCCTCCAGCCCCGTACTCTAGACTTTCAGCAGTCAGTGTCCAAAGACCTAGGAAGGGGGACAAAGGGGAGCAAAGACAAGCGTGGCCAGGGGGAAGGTCTTGTGATCACTGAAGCTGCATTCAATTTTCCAGGCTGGCCGGATAGTCGCCCTCCTTGTCTCGACACCCCTTCATTTTCCCTAACACCATCATTAAGCCCTCCTCAGCCTTCCCACCCAACTGAGAAATCTGGGAAACTTTCCTGTTTCCCCACAGGCTAGTTCCCAACCCTTTCATCATCTCTGGATTCAGGGGTATAACTAGGGCGTGTTATGTCCACTTTCAATTCTAGAATAATAGTACCCTATGCTAAGGTCCTGAACTGGGGGCTAAGGAAAGTGCAGGAAAGAAGGGGTGGCTCCTAGCTGGGTCAGGGAAGCCCGAAGGGGGATGGGGTGGTGGCTTTGTGAATCCCTTGTCCCCCCCAGGTCTGACCAGCAACCTCCAGCAAGGTAGGCACTATGTCCTTCAGGGACCCCACCATGGTGCTTCACTCCTGCCCAGACATGGTTCCCACCCCTCTCCAGGGTGTGAAGGGGCCACATGACCTGGGTTCCTCGGGCTATATGCGCCCAGGTGATGTCCTTGTTTGAGTTCGTCAAGCCCCGCCACTCCATCAGGCTCTGAGCTGACCCAGGAAAATCATCAAAATTCTATTAGCTTCAGAATCAATTCCTATTTGCATCCTGGTCCCTCAGGAGCTCCTGGCTTCCCTGTTAGCTGATGGGAAGTCAATTGTCTGAAATACTAAATTGACAGCTTCGGTGTTTGCTTTAGATTTGAGTGTTTATTTAAATAATAGTCACATAAATAATGGAATATTTGGGGGGGAGGGAATTCTGTTATAACCTCATGCCGATATCTAATATCCTATTCCCATGAGCACTAGTCAGCGCCAAATGATCTGTGTTAGCTTGGCCTGACATCAGTGTCCTCCTCCACTCTTTTCTCACCCAGCTCACTGGGAGCACCATGAGAGCTAAATAACCTGGTCTTTTGGGGGAGAGGGCCTGACAGCCTTCTTCCTGTTCCTTATCACATGCAGTTGCAGGTTGATAAGGCACAAATAAAGTGCTAGAGTGCTTGCACGCTGTTGTGGGTTGGCAGGGACAGTATTTGCGTTTCCTCTGTCAGGTGACAAGGAGCCCTGTGCACATCCCAACTCTCGATTTTGTGCCCCGGCTCGCCAGTGCCCCATCATGGACCCAGCCTGGGAGGCCCCGGAGGGTGTCCCCATTGAGGCCATCATCTTTGGAGGACGCAGACCCAAAGGTGAATATTATGTGGATGCCGTGCCTTCTCAGTGAGGGCCTGGCTTGATATCAGGGGCTACCTCCTCTTGTCCTTAGCTCAAGATCCTCTGCCTGGATCGCCAGCTCTAGCTCCCTGTCTCCAGAGCTCACCTACGAGAATGAAAATTTGGGGGATGACATGGGTCCTAAGTGGGATGGTGGAAGTCCCAGGAGAGCGGCTAGGAGTCATGGTCACCAGAAGGGGTGGAGTGAACGACCAAAGAAAAGGGTTGCCTATGACCTGCTACCTGGTGCTCTAGGAGTCCCCCTGGTATATGAAGCCTTCAATTGGCGCCATGGGGTGTTTGTGGGCAGTGCCATGCGCTCCGAGTCCACTGCTGCGGCTGAACACAAAGGTGAGTGCCCCCTTTCCCTCTCCTATGTGTCCACATTGCCTCATGTCTCCCCCACTGAGCCAGACCCTCCTCCTGCCCATCCCTTCCTGCCTGGACCTTTCCCAGTCCCTTCTCGTCACCCTGCCTAGAGAACGATGAATAATTCACAACTTGTCCAGCTGGATGCAGGGCACCTTTCTCTTCTTCGTCAAAGAGGGAGATTGCTTTACTTACCCACCCTGCTCCCCTCCTCAGGGAAGATCATCATGCATGACCCATTTGCCATGCGGCCCTTTTTCGGCTACAATTTTGGGCGCTACCTAGAACACTGGCTGAGCATGGAGGGACGCAGAGGGGTGCAGCTGCCTCGCATCTTCCATGTCAACTGGTTCCGGCGCGATGAGGCAGGCCGCTTCCTATGGCCAGGCTTTGGAGAGAATGCTAGGGTGCTGGACTGGATCTGCCGGCGACTGGAGGGGGAGGACAGTGCCCAAGAGACACCCATCGGGCTGGTGCCAAAGGAGGGCGCCTTGGATCTCACTGGTCTGGGAGCCATAGATACCACCCAGCTGTTCTCGCTCCCCAAGGACTTCTGGGAACAGGAGGTCCGTGACATCCGGAGCTACCTGACTGAGCAAGTGAACCAGGATCTGCCCAAGGAGGTGCTGGCTGAGCTGGAGGCCCTGGCAGGACGCGTGCGCAGAATGTGACCTGGGGCTCCAAGCTAGTGAGTGAGCACAGCAGCCCAACCAGGAGCAGGAGAGCCAGCACACCTGCAGAAAATATGAGCAACTTGATGTACCTAACATCTGGGTGCCACAGGCCACACTACCCACACTGTCTAATAAGAGATGCTCATTTATTTTACATAACATGTGTGCTGTTTTCATTTCCGACCTATTTTCACAGGCTTCCCTCTAACACCAGTCTCACTATGTTCCAGCCCCTCGAGCCTGCCTGGTGACATCAAGAATCTCTCACACAGGTGGCTCTGCCACGGTTATAGAAGCGGGGATTACTGGAAGAAGCGATATAATACTATCTACTCTGTGCCCTGCGGTCTTTAAAAGGTGGGGGTCCTCTGCGAGCCGCTGAGCACAACCTCCAGGCCTTAGACTCCTGATTTCACACTTAGATACAGAGAAGCCTCTAATCCCATTCTCCAGCCAAGCGATTCCATGGCCCATTTGCCAACCTTGTCTTCTCCTTATCTGACCTGTACTTGGGACTGGTAAGGATTCATGAAAGTTTATTCAGCGTTAAGACAGCTAACAGTCCTATTCTAAGAATATTACAAAACAACCCTCTGAGGTAAGTGCCATTTTACAGATGAATAAACAAAGATACAGCGGAAACAAAGATATAGGGAGGTGAAATAATAGCCCAAGGCTACATCACGAAATCAATAGTAGAGCCAAGGATAAATAATAACTGTGACTATATAGATTTTTTTTATATAGCAGGACTTGTAAAGATCTTCATGTCATCTATTCTGTGTTTCTTGAACTTAAAAATGCATATGAATCACCTGGAGCTTGTTAAAATGCACATTCCATTCAGCAAGTCTGGGGTGTCCTGGAGATTCTGGGTTTTTTTAGAATCTTCTAGGTAGGGTCCTCCCTGGTGGCACAATGGGTTATAGTGCAACTCTGTGAAGCTAGCAGCAGCTGCTTCAGTGTAAGTTTGATCCCCACCTCAGAGGTGACCCACATGGTGCAGCAGACCTCTCCTGTCTCTCCCACTGCTCCCCTCAACAGTGTACTTCGTTATCTGCCTGTTCCGCTCCCTGCTCTGTCTCTGGTGAATCCTCTCACTGCCCCTGCAACTCTGGCCTGTACCTCAGTTCTGTATACATAAATAATAAATAAATCTTTTTTTTTTTTTTTAAAGAAACTTCTAGGTAATGCTGCTGGTCCAGAGGCCATAATTTAAGTAGCAAGGTCAAGACCTCAAATCTGCAATCAACTTTTTAGAGGGAAAACAGAGAACTACTGTCCTCCATTAATAAGAGACAGCAGTTGAACATAGCTTCACCTATGATCTGGATCAGGCTGGGTGAATATATAAGCAGGTAGGAAGATGGGAGTCTACCCAGAAAATAAGAACAAACTTCAACAAATAAAAATAGTTACTGGGAATCCCCCCAGAGACAGACACTAAAGGAGGAAACAACAAATGTTCTCATAAAAATTGTCATTAACCAGACACTGTAAGAATGGAAAAGAACCTAAAGGTCAGAGCAGATGATATTAGAGCACAACTAGCCGTGGAGTCCATTGCATCTAAAAATACTTATGGCCAAACCCACAGCTTAATACATAGCCTGCGATTCACTGAAGCAATATGACTAGAGGCAGCTTAACACAAATGCTTGGTCACACAGCAGAGTGAGACCAGGGCTGCCTTCTCAGTTTCTTCACCTGTAAAAGGGGATATGCCTACACCTCACAGAGCTGTTAGAGGGTTAAGAGAGTCACTGGGTAAGGCATGCAGAACTATGCCTGGTATTGAGGAGCCATTTAATAGATGCTGGCTGGCCTTACCTTTCCACTCTATATTAACTATACATTATATAGTAAATATAACATAGAGTATAGTATAGATAATGTAAGTCTATACTATATGTTGCTCTCTAGATTTTTTTTATATATATATTTATTTGTGCATACAAGCCAGAGGTGCGGGGTGGGTGAGAGGATTCACCAGAGACAGAGTGGGGAGCAGAACAGGCCGACTGATGAAGTACACTGCTGAGGGGAGCAGCAGGTGGGTCAGGAGAGGTCTGCTGCTCCATGTGGATCACCTCTGGGGTGGGGATAGAAGTCATGCTGAAGCTTTAGCTTCTTAGTGCTGTGTTTTAACCTGCTGCGCCACCAGGGAGGGCCTGACTCTGTAGTTTAAGAGAAAAATGAGCAAGGTAAATAAAATTTAGGGAAAAAGGAAACTGATTTGGAAATAAGTCCCTCCAGGAGAGAGAAGCAGGGGACTGTGGTTCTAGGTGCCTTTCTGATGTCTTAATGCACAGCAATATGAAGGTATTTATGTCCAAAAATGATTTTATCACCTTGAATAAAATTGGGCTGCAAGTCCTACTGAAGCAGGAGCTCCAGATAGTTAATACATTTTAATTCTTTTATTTTAAAACACACAGAAAACCATACAATAAAAGGTTTAGCTTAATAAGCTATTATAAAATGAATACCTTTGAAACCATCACTCAGAAAAATAAGTAGAACTTTGCCAGACATCCAAAATACCATTCTCATCCCCACCATGTTCTTGATCTTCATTATATTCCCTCCTCCCTGGAATAAATGGATGATGTAGTACGTAGTAATCATTTCCTTCTTTTTTGGTGAAGTTGCTTGTGTGTACATGTGCGATCTTTGCTCATTTCTTGAAATTTCATGTCTTTTAAGTCTCTCAATCGTCAGGCTCTTGACTCCTTTTTATTCACTTTAACCATTGAAGAATCTTGGTCTAGATTTTCCGTCTATAGACTCATCAATTCACTAGGGATTTCAAAACAGGCATATTTTTTAAAAAAGATTTTTATTTATTTATGCACATATGAACTGGGGTACAGGCCAGAGATGCAGGGATGAGAGGATTCATCACAGACAGAGAAGGGTGCAGAACAGGTGGATTTACTGAAATATACTGCTGAAGGGAGATAAGACAGTAGAGGTCTGCTATGCCATGTGGGTCAGCTCTATGGCCAGGGATCGAACTCATGCTGGAGTGACTGCGGACAGCCTCACAGTGTTGCACTCTAACCTGTTGTGCCACCAGGAAAGGCCCAGAACAGGGGTATTTTAACTGTTAATAATAGTTGGAATACTTTTACAAAGGTGTACTCTTATCGTTTATTTTCATTTCATTACACTAAGGTATAATTTGAGGACCAAGAAAACTGATTCTTTTCCTTTATTTACCATATTCAGTATAAATTGGTTTAGTTTCCTATGATCCTTCAAAAAGGTAACCAATTAATTATATATATATACACACACAACCACCACCATTATGAACTTATGAATTTAAACATACTTAATGTTTGTTAAATAATCCTTATTGACACTCAAATTGTCCCATCTTTGGCTATGAATGCTTGGTTTCTGTGACTCTGTGACCTTACCCTGAGAGTGTTTGTTGGTCTCTCTGCTATATGGTATGGTAAATTGTTCCACACTCATTATGTTCATTTCCTGCCCTAGAAACTGGAACTAGCCATGTCTCCAAGATTTTGTTTCTTTTTAGTGAGAAACAGTATTTTAAGGACACATTTTAGTGTTAAGAGTGTTCACTGCTGTTGGTTAGGCCATTGTTTTCTAAACCTTTTCGGTGGATAGGGATAGGAATAAAATTTATCATGAGTTCATACTGATATATTCTATTCAAACTCAAATCTAAAGGGTTTTTAAAATCTGTGCCACATCTGTAGCTCCTTTCCCCCACAAAAACTTTGGATCTCAAAGACACAGAACATGAAAGAATTAGAAATCCCTAACTGGGCCCTACCTGGTGGCGCAACAGGTTAAGGACACAGCACTGCAAGCTAGCCTCAGCTGCTTCACTGCGAGTTGATCCCTGGCCCTGGAGGTGACCCACTGGCATGGCAGACCTCTCCTGGCTCATCCACTGCTTCCCTCAGCAGTGTACTTTGTTGATCTGCCTGTTCTGCTCCCCATTGTGTCTCTGGTGAATCTTCTCACCACCTCTGCACCTCTGGCCTGTACCCCATTTCTGTATGCATAAATAAAAATCTTTAAAACAACAACAAAAAAAAATAAATCCCTAACTACTCAATTGCTTTATAGTCAACGCATTTTAAGTCCTAGGTAAATTAATGTACTTCCTCATTTCCTTCTACACAGACACTATTACAAGATGATATTATATAAATAAATGTCAACAGTTACTTCTGAAGACAGAACTTTCCCTTTTATTGCCTGGAGCTGTACACGTGTCCTAGGAGCTCTGTGCATTCACCTAAAGGAAGCTGAGGAAGAGGGAAGATAGGGTTAGCCAGAACATGGAAAATTTGCTTTCTCTCCTCTTTAGTCCAGACCGCCCCCTAGTGGAGATGGCAATGAGCAGGAAACATCCCAAGGCAAGTCAGACAGGAAGTCAACTAGTTGACATTTGTACACAGCAACGAACCAGAACCAGCACTAAAATGGGTGCTAAAGGTAGAAAGAAAACTTCTCTGTGGCTTTAAGCTTAGATGGGAAACACAGTTTGTCCAAATAAAAGTGCTTTACAAATTGTCGCCAAGCAACCTGCCAAATTTCAAAACTGTGAGTAGGCCCACAGAGTTCATTAAAATGATGTAATATAATTCTTAGTAAAGAAGTGCCATTTTTTAAAGAATGCCATTTCCCTAAGACAGGAATACTATGAATACTCATATATACTTTGAAAATATAAGAACAAGTGACATAATTGTGTTCATCCAGTTGTAGATGAAATGGATGAAATCCTATATTCTTTGATTTTTAAGACTCATTTTGGCCACAAATCTGGTTTTTAAAACACCATAACTTTTAAATGTTTTATTCAAGTTATACAAGTTATTCAAGATGTATAAGTTCCATATTTCAAGGGCCCAAACTTAGATTTTATTCTAGTTCAAAATGGAATTGTGCTAAGCAGCAGCTAAGAGGGAAAAGGTAGCCCAAAAACGCACTATTAAGGAAATGAGTTTAACGGAAGTGTTTTATTTGGGGAACTCATATGCTCAAATTGTATTAATCATAATGCTTTGTTTATGTCAAACCTTTGAACCTTAGTTCATGCAAGTTCCATTTTATTTGTTAGATGACACAATGAGTGGGTACTTTTAGACTTTCATACGCAAAATTAAAACCATAATGCTTCTACATCCACCATAACTTGTTACCACAATAAAAAACTAAAGCCTAGCAATGTAACTTGTGCAATTCCCTATGGTATAAAAATAGAAGTCTAGAACATTTTAATGGATACCTGATATATCTGTGTCTACCGAATGAACCATAGTTTAGTTAACCGGCCAGTACAATACTGTGATATATTTTGAATCTATTTTGTTTCCAGTGTTTTACTATTATCAGTAATCCTTCTGCTAGATTTAGCGACTTAATGCCGGCTAGAATCCTTGCAGTGTTACCACTGGATCAGGGTCTGACTACAACTATAGAGACAAGAGTTTCCCCCGTGTAAATTTTCCTGGGGTGGAAACAATCGACATATTTATGAGCTTGTCAAAAACAACAAAAACTGAAGTTCGTACAAAAACAGCCAGGCTTGGAAGCCTGAATTTGAAACAGTAAGTTACCCTCTTGCAGGTTCTTTAAAGATTAAATACAAGAGAAGAAAATCTCCAGCAGATCAACTGGGAGTGGCATGAGGTAAAGAAAATTGGCTTCGTGTGATGGTTGAGAGCCACCTCAACTAATCAATTGAAAAATCTGTCAGACTGAACAGTTAGGGTGTGAGTGGGGTAGGGGAGATGAATACCTAAGACTTGACGAATTTAAAGAGCAGAGAGGGAATGACTTTGTATTTTAAATGACTCCAAAATGTTCAGGATAGACAGCCCCGAAACTGCAGAATCCGAAATTCTCAACATTACAATGCAACCTGTCAACAGCAGATGTGTGACCAGCAGATAGTTACTTAAGACTGTAGAACCCAGAGCAAGATGAAGCCGTGGGGCGTGGCAGTGGGAGAGGGGACACTGGCTCAAAATTTATCAAGAATTTCACGGCGGTGAAAGCGGCCAATTTTAAACCTAGGCAGGGGCCCTTCTAAGCACAGCCCTGCACACATGGCACGCCCTCTGGGAGCCGGCCAAGAAACGGTACTCTCAGGCCTAGAGGTCCAGAGGGGCAGGAGGCGTCACCTGAAGGACTGACCACACCCTCGCCCGCCTAGCAAATTAGCTCCAGTAGGGCCCAGAGGAACAAAGCGGGGGACACGCCGCAGCACGTGTAAGAGCCACGGGCGCTAGGTGCAGCTTGGACCCAGAGGCAGGCTGCGGTTACTCAACCCACACCATCTTCCCCGCCAGCCTGGGTGAGGATCCTTGTGCTCTGCGAGTTACTCATAAACCCATTGGAGAAGGGGGGAGGCGACGCATGTGCGACCCCTAGACCCGCTGCCCAGGGAAGAGAGCCCCCGCCCCGCCCGGCCCTACCCCCCCCAAAAGACTTCAGGTCTGGTGGGCTAACGCCTCTAAGAGCGGAACTGACGAAACCGGAAGGGCCCTCGGAGAGCCGTCGCTGTATTAGGGATCGTCTGCAAAGACCGCGGGGCGAAGCCAGGGGTCATCTAAAAAGTGCCAAAGCGTCTGAGAGGCGAACTAGAAAGGGGCGGTCTCCCACAGGAAGGCTTCCGGAAGTTAAATCCGGAATGAAGGGTGCGGAAGCCTGGGGCCCCATCTGGGACGCTCGCCACAGAGCTAGGCCGGGTACGCTGCAACCCGCAAAGTCTGAGGCTGTAGTCGGGTGAGGAGGAAGGGGTGGAGGGGAGGCCCTTAGAGATGATCCAGAAAGCACGAAGCTACATAAACTTCAGGCCGAGAGCAAATTGTATCTCTTCCTAAAACACCGCTCCAACTTCTTTTGTAAACCCGGCCCCTCATCTGTAGTCTAGTTTTGTTGTCACTGATTCAGGAAGCAGCAGGTCCCCCACCTACTCCTCCCAACCCAGAGCGAACGCCCTCCTCCGGCGAGCTGTTTCTCCTCCCCTCAAGTACTTCGCTGACTTTCTCCCGCCCACCTGTCAATCACCGTGCTCAGCTGTCCAGTTAGCTGGCCAAGGGGGCGGGGCCTCCAGGGGCGTTTGCGTGACGTCTGCAGGTTGCCGGCGGGGAAGCCGGGAGGTGCGTGACGAAGGAGGCCCGTGACGAAGGAACGTTTGGCAGAGGCTGCAGCTGCAGGCGGTATAAACAAGGCCTCTCGCCACTGCAGGTCCTGCGAACGCTCCTGGCTGGTGGGTGGTCTCGCGCGGGGCGGTAACTGCTGACTTCAGTGGGAGGTGCTTCTCGGCGTCCCCCGGCCTCCCCCCCCCCTTGACGTACACACCCCCGGCACACCACGTGGGCGTGAGGCGTGGAAGGAGGGGGGTGTTAGACCCAAGTTATAACCTCATTGGTTTTCGTTGCTGCCGGCTTTCGCAAAGGAACGCTCTGATTGGTCGGTAAGGGGGGCGTCGGGGGTCTCGGAGTTCTAAGGTTCCTGATTGGTGTAATGAGATAAGCTAATGAGGCGCTTTCTTCCGCGAGGGGTTGTGATTGGTCGGCCACAGAGGTTACCTGGGATCTACCCCCCCCACCCGGAGGGACTTTGATAGGTGAGTTTGAGGTAGAAAACTGAGAAATTCCTCTTCAAAGGAGTCTCCTCGGTGAACTAGGGTAGCGCCCTGGCTTCACACCGCTGTTTTCGCGTCACAGACTTGGAAAAGGTTAATGTTCCCGAAGCCCTGGGAGTTGTCACAGGCTAAAAAGAAGGGAGCTCAGTCCCTAGGAAGGGTCCTCCTAGAAATAGCTACTGCCCAGTCTCTGGAGACCCCGGTATTTCTAGAGCAGACTTTGCTTTCACCAAACCCAAGGAGGTGACAGGAGGAGTCCCTGCACAGGACCTAAGGATGCTGTAACCAGAAGATGGGATCGCGGAACAGCAGTAGTGCAGGATCTGGGTCCAGAGACCCCTCTGAGGGCTTGCCCCGAAGAGGGGCTGGCCTGCGTCGGAGTGAGGAAGAGGAAGAGGAGGATGAAGATGTGGATCTGGCCCAGGTACTGGCCTATCTCCTCCGCAGGTAACTTACCCCGTGGTGTGACCCCACCAGGCGCCACCACAATCCCTTGATCCTGACTGCAGGCAGGGAAGTCACGGAGGATAGAGAATGGGATTAGCCCTGGACAGCTGCCCTGTTTGAACAGAACAGTCTTCCTTGGTGGGCACTCCTGGCACTCAGCTCCAGTCCCGTTAGGAGCGGTTCTTAACCGGAGGGTCCCCAAGATGACCGGCTCTTGTTTGAGGAGCCTGCTCAGCAGAGCCTCTCTAGCTATGACTAGACCAATGTAGCCTATTTTTCAAGTAAGTAAAAAGCAATTGGGGCTGTTTTCCAGGTGAGAAAAGAGTGAGATGAAGGGTGAAGAGTGGGTGGTGGACCTCAGGAAAGTTCTCGACATGTGATACAAGGCCATGTGGATTTACTTGAAAAACAAGTTTAAAGTAACCTAACTATAATCCTGTTCTTGAGGAAAGAATACTTTGAGGAAGTGACCACCAGGAATTGACTGGGAAGGGGCATAACTAGCTTTGTTCCTTGTCCCTGGCTCCTTGGGGAAAAGGCAGACTTTATCCTCTCAGACACCAGGTTCTGTGCTACACTCCTCAGGCAGAGTGGTTCAGAGAGAAATGTACTCAGAATTTTTAGCTGTCTAGGAAATCAACTCCATAAGCCTGTCAACCTCCATGGAATGTTAGGTTTCACTACTGCCCCAAGAGTGAGAATTTCCCTCTGAGACTTAGAGGAGACTGAAAATAAAAGCCAAGGTCTGGTCAATTTCAAACCTCAAAATTGGGACACTATGAGGACTTAAGTATCATGTAGTCTAAGAGCTAGCTAGCTGTTGAATCTGAATTTGGTTGGTGGGGGGAAGGGGCTCCCCCTTTATCATTGGGGGTTTCTCCACAGAGGCCAAGTGAGATTGGTGCAGGGAGGAGGTGCAGCAAATTTACAACTCATCCAGGCCCTCTCGGACTCAGAGGAAGAGCATGACAGTGCCTGGGACGGTCGCCTTGGGGACCGATACAACCCTCCTGGTAAGAGGAAATGCAGGTGGCGACCCTAACTAGAAGACTTTCATTAGAAAACCTTTTTCTAATTTTGGCAAATAACAATAGATGAAACTGAAAGCAGAGCCTGACCTGGGCAGCCCCAGTCTATTCAGCCATGTTTGGGTGGGCTTAGGCATAGTTCTGCTAGCTGTCCTTAGAGCTGAAAGACCTGAGATGAAACGTCTTATTGGTCCTTACAGTGGATGCAACCCCTGACACCCAGGAACTGGAATGCAATGAGATCAAGACTCAAGTGGAATTGGCCACTGGGCGGCTGGGGCTTAGACGGGCAGCCCGGGAGCACAGCTTTCCTCGAATGCTGTACCAGGTAGGCTCTCCACCTCCAGCAAGCCCAGCAGCAGACCTGTGAAAGTAGGCTGCTTACCAACCCCAGGGAAAAGGGAAGTAAACTTTCCCCGGGAGCTTCAAGTGCTGGAGCTGGAAAATTAAGCAGCTTACATCGGAATTCGGTGGGACATGATGCTGTGTGTAGTATCTGTTTCTGTTGCAAACACAATGTCTTAAGGTAGGGGGAGGCTCCTACTATGACTGAAAGGTCCTTTGTTTCTGCTACCAATATCTCCCAAACCTTTTCTTTAGAGAGAACGGGGCCTCTGTCACCAGGGAAGTTTCTCCCTTGGAGAACGGTCTCGAGTGATGTCTCAGTGAGTATGGGGCTCAGTGGGGAGACTCTAAGGGCCACATATGTCTTATTCCCTGAACCTGGAAGGGATAACTGTCAAAGGATCCTCAGGAATATTAAGGTTAGGGTAAATGGGGGGGAAGCTTTTGAGAGTAAAGAAAGTGGAAAAGTCTAGACATTTGAGAAAATAATGGAATTATGAAAGAGAGGAAATTATATGCAAGGCCAAAAAGGAAGAGAATGCTTTTGTACTGGCATCCAGTTGTCAGGATTTTGCTGACTGGAACATGCCTCATCCTGAGCTTCCCTCACCCTCACTTTCCATCTGCTTTCCCAGCTTCTTGCCCAATGATTTGGGCTTCACTGATACCTACTCTCAGAAGGCCTTCTGTGGCATCTACAGCAAAGACGGTCATATCTTCATGTCTGCTTGTCAAGGTACCAGACCCTGGTCCTGCACACTACCCTGGAACAAGGAAGTGCCCCCTGACTGATGCTAAGAGCCCCAAACCCAGGGAGCTCAGACCTGGGTTTAGGATGCTTAGCCAGAACACATTTCCCATGGTCAAGGGAAGATTCCACAGATACATAGGTCTGATCTAGGGAGGCTTCCTGGAGGGTGTTCCATAATTCTGATACCCGCTCACGCAGACCAGACAATCCGCCTATATGACTGCCGGTATGGACGCTTTCATAAGTTCAAGAGCATCAAGGCCCGAGATGTAGGCTGGAGTGTCCTGGATGTGGCCTTCACCCCTGATGGGCACCACTTCCTCTACTCCAGCTGGTCTGATTACAGTGAGTATGCTCCAGACTTCCACTGTGTCATCGCCCAGGCCTTACGTCTCCAAAAACCTGTCTCTGAACCCAGACTCCACACCTCCCAGGAAGAACACTCCTTGCCCATCTCCCTATTTTCCCTGCCACCCTCCTTTCCCAGCCCTAAAAGAGTCCTGTTTCTTTTGCTTCTCTTAGTTCATATCTGCAACATCTACGGGGAGGGAGACACACACACTGCCCTGGATCTAAGGTACTGGCTTCCCTCCCTTATCAGACTCACCAGAAACTTCTCAAGGAAGGCTCTCCAGGAGTAAACCTCTTGAACTGGAACTCCTGCTTAGAGGGAAAAGTATACTGCTTACAAGTCTCTCTGTACACTGGTTCCTGGGAGGGAACCATCTATCCTGTCTGCCGGAGGACCAGGGTAAAATAGATGGTTGCAGGATTTTATTTGACTGAGGTGATCTACATTCTGGTGTGGGTTGGCAGGACTTCTTTTCCCCTGGGAAGTACACCTTTCAGTCCTCATTAGGTTCCTTGCACATGAACAAAAGTTGAAGGGGAGTCTCCTTAACCCATCTCCATCTTTCTCTTTCCAGGCCAGATGAGCGTCGCTTTGCTGTTTTTTCCATTGCAGTTTCCTCAGATGGACGAGAAGTGCTAGGAGGGTGAGTGTTTGCAGGGCTCTCTCCATTCCTGAGAAAGAGACAAGAGCTTGCCCCTCAGCAGGGCTTCTCTACAGGGACGGTCCAATGCGCACATCATTCGGTCCTCTCCATCCTGGCTTTAGGGCACTCTCTATCCCTCCCTTTCAGGGCCAATGATGGCTGCTTGTATGTCTTTGATCGAGAACAGAATCGGCGCACCCTTCAGGTATTTTCCTCAGACTTAGAGCCTCTATCTCAGTCCATGGCCTATTAAAAGACATAGAAAGGGGTCCTATGTATCGTGGCCTCCTTCTCCTCTAGATTGAATCCCATGAGGATGATGTGAATGCAGTGGCTTTTGCTGACGTAAGCTCCCAAATTCTGTTCTCTGGGGGTGACGATGCCATCTGCAAAGTGTGGGATCGACGCACCATGCGAGAGGATGACCCCAAGCCTGTGGGAGCACTGGCTGGACACCAGGATGGCATCACCTTCATTGACAGCAAGGTGGGCAGGGAGATGAGGCTGCGCAGTCAGGCTGCTAAGATTCCAGTTGTCCAGGAGAGCGTCAAAGTGGGCTAGTGTGGGAACTGGCCAAGTTCCAAGGTTTACAAGAGCTGCAGTTTAGGGAAGGGGCTTAAGCCAGGAGCCCTGAGATCCATCTTTACCCACCTGTCTTCAAGGAGCAGGGAACCATTTTCTGTATAAGAAAAGCAAGACAAGCCATTCAAGGATAAGGCTAGGAGGCCCGTTGTGCTGGGGCGAGGAAGGGGAAATGTAGCTAGGAAAGGATCTGTGGCACAGAACGGATGGTGAGCCCATCTGAAGGAAGAAAGGGGCAAGCAAAGTCAAAGGACTGGAGTTCTTACCACTCCACTGAAAGAGGGAAGCTGGACTGACAGACACCAACATTACGAGCACGGATACTTCACTGCTCATCTGGCGGTTCACAGGGAGACGCCCGGTATCTCATCTCCAACTCCAAAGATCAGACCATCAAGCTCTGGGATATCCGGCGCTTTTCCAGCCGGGAAGGCATGGAAGCCTCACGCCAGGCTGCCACACAGCAGAACTGGGACTACCGCTGGCAGCAGGTACCCAAAAAAGGTGAGACTGGAAGGTAGAACTTGCTAGCTGGAGAATTAAGAGTCAGGGGTGGAAGTTAAAATACTTAATCCCTGAAAGGTCTGGTGCGGGCACAGTGGGTGTGGCTCTAGCCGGGGTGAGTCCTAGAGCCTGCCCCCACTTCCCCTTGCCAGGCATTAACTCTGGTTAACTGAGCCACGGGTTCCCAGGGTTGGAGCCTGGGGGTAACTTAGAACCAACAAATACAGAAGTTTTAAATATTTTAAGAACCTGCAGAGTCACACTGGTGACTGTCAACTCACTAGGTGGCTAGGGGTAGAGCAGGAGAGGCAGGAGCCATCACTCTATGATCAGAAAGCTGGTTGTGCCAGAGTATCCGTCTCTGCAGACTCTCTAACCTAAGCTGCCCTACCTCTCTGCCAGCCTGGCGGAAGCTGAAGCTCCCAGGGGACAGCTCTTTGATGACCTACCGGGGCCATGGGGTGCTGCACACCCTCATCCGCTGCCGATTCTCCCCCACCCACAGCACCGGCCAGCAGTTCATCTACAGTGGATGCTCCACTGGCAAAGTGGTCGGTAAGGACTGGGTCAGAACAGGGGCCTCAGGAAGGACAGCAGTGTTTCTCTGGCCTTCCAACTGGAACTACCAGTAGACACCTTAAAAAACCCAGCAAGGACGACAAGTGAAATTTAATTTAGCTTGAAGCAGGGGAGGTTTAAACAGAGGACTAGAAAATACTCTATTCATCAGCATTTTAAATTAAGAAAAGGAACACAGACTTCTAGTCAGTAAATATAATAGATTGCCGAAAATACACTCGGTTCTGCTTCCTACCCTGTCAAGGGAAGAATGCAGATGAAAAGTAGGAGGGAACAGAGACCCAAAAAATGACACAGAAAGACAGCGGCAAGTAGTAAAGGACACACAGCCACAGGAGGAATGCACAGAAAGGAACCTAACGAGTCTACAGATGAAGGTACCCGAGACATGACCGTCCCAAGAGCGGCACTCAGAAGGACACCCGTGCAGAAAGAGAAAAGACACACCCCATCCAATTATAAAACAGAGGTTCACATGTCTGTAGAGACAGCCTGTAGTTTTGGGGTACCTTCCACATCTTATGGGCTTTTTAGAAAATTGCAGCTAAAAGCCTTAAAGCCACATTACATTTTTTCAGCTGTAGACCTTGTGAAATGTAGCTAAGGGCTCTGCCAGGCCATACCTTCAACTTGAGGCAGAGAAAGAAGTGCAGTCTTCTGGTGTGGGCTTTGCTCCTTGGGGTGGGAGGTTGCCTGAGAGGCAAGTAAGTGGTATTGCTCAGGAAGAGGGGAGGGGGTCTGGAGGGTTCCGGCATCCCCCTCCACTCGGGCTTTCCTGAACAGTGTATGACCTCCTCACGGGCCACATTGTAAAGAAGCTGACCAGCCACAAGGCCTGCGTGCGAGATGTCAGCTGGCACCCATTCGAGGAGAAGATTGTCAGCAGTTCGGTGAGGTTGCAAGGGCTGTGGAGGGTGCCCCCAAGGGTTGGTTAGCCCTGGGAGGGCTTAGTGTCCCCTGACTTCTTACCTTCTACCCTGTAGTGGGATGGGAACCTGCGTCTGTGGCAGTACCGCCAGGCTGAGTACTTCCAGGACGACATGCCAGAGTCTGAGGAACACCCCAGCAATCCTGCCCCGGTGTCCCACCCCTCTACAGCCTTTTCCTCACCCCAGTAGGTCTGACCTCTAGCCAAGTATAATGGTGAGCGTCTGTCCCTCCCACCTTTCTCTCTTCAGGGGGATTCCAGGGGAATCATAGACAATGATTGGGGAGAAACAGAAGCCCCAGGCTTCAGGGCCCTACATGGGCCCTGGAAGTTTCTCCCCACAGAATGGTCTCTTCACATGCTCATACCCAATTGGCTTGGGTCTCTATTTCTGACCAGCGTCTGGCAGGACTGCCATTATCTGGGGGTGTAACCTACACCAGCAGAACTGTCCTGAATGTTTTTAATCATGCTTGGTTGTTAAGTGTTATCTCCTAGAATAGATATGGAGGCCCAGACCTGACCTGAGCTGTCAGCCAGGCCCATTGCTCAGGCCTTCATGTTGAGGATGAGACTGACCTTTCTTCCAGTGCCCTGATGGCTAGAGCTCTAGCCCTTTAGGGGAGGGTGGGATGGTGTGCCCTTAGCACCCTTTGGGTGCGGATTATGTCTTCTCTCTCATGTCTGGGTCTTTGGGGCCAGACAGGCGGTGGTGTGGGAGGTTCCATGTGGCCCCAGAGGGGCAGGTCCTCCCTATCCAGTGTTCTGTCATGCAAAGGCCCAGCACTTCAAGGAGGGATGTGGAAGTAGGACTCTGTCCTCTCGCTGGCTTTGGCTCCCTCAATAAACTCTCTGTGGGAACCTGGCTCAGTGTCTGTCTCTGCCTCACTCTTTTCCTCTCTGAGGTTTTTTATCCTCTCACTTCAAGAAAATATTTTGAACAAAGCCTTCAGATATGCTCCTTTGTGGGAGACGCCACAGCTTTGATACCTCAAGATGAAGGGAAATACCAAAAACACTTATTAACTGAGCTTTGCAACAGGCACTCCCTCACAACCTCACAGACTTCCCAGCAAGTGGAAATTAAATAGCAAAAGATAAGCACATTTGAGGTAAGAGTCCAGAACACCCTAGTCAGCTGTGCTCTGGGAGAGCCCCGGAGCTGGTCCCATCTGTGAGAGAAGCAGCTTGGAGCCAGAGGATGCCAATTTCTACCTGAGCTTTTCACACTCAGGGCCTCAGCCACACTCACAGCTGCCCTTGCTACTGGTGAGGGAATGGAGCTGTGTAAGGTTAAACAACATGCCCCAGGCAAGTTTGTGGGTACTAGTGTAGCTGTTCCCACCTCATTTCATTTCTCTAAGGTCATTTTCAGACAGGAATACATACTCCAAAAGTTCTCAAAAAGCTGTTGGTGGTAAAAGTGGAGGTATCTGTTTTGCAGCAAAATAGGTAGTTTTAAAAGAATAAATTGTCGGCCCTCCCTGGTGGCGCAGCGGGTTAAAGCACAGCACAAAGAAGCTTAAGCCACTTCCGCATGAGTTCGATTCCCGCCTGCCCCGGAGGTGACCACATGGTGTGGCAGACCTCTCCTGACCCGCCCGCTGCTCCCCTCAGCAGTGTACTTCCTCAATCTGCCTGTTCTGTTCCCCACTCTGTCTCTGGTGAAGCCTCTCGCCCTCCGCATCTCTGGCCTGTACCCCAGTTCTGTACAAATAAATAAATAAATCTTAAAAAAAAAAAAAAAGAAATTGTCTATTATACAAAGGTGCTTCAATTTTTTAAGTATTATTTCTAATATCACTTAAAAGTAGAGTAAATTGTCATGATTCATACTTCCATGCTATCTCTTCCTCCAACTGATCCACTATATGTGAACTGCCACACCAAATAGTGTGGCACACATGCCAGAGATGCCACCATCTTATGTAGAACCTGTATTACCTTCAAATACAGCATGCCAAAGTTAGAGACAAATTGATGTTACTAGTATCTTCAAAGCCTCATTCATCCATTAGGGCATCCATTCTTTTCATTAAGAGATAAATTCTCAATATAATTTTAGTTTGCTATTATCAAGATATGTGAAATGTTTGCTATAATACATTTTCTACTACTAACAATTATAATGAAAATTCAACCCAGCAGAAAAAAATATTTAATTTTTAGGGCCTTAAGATCTCAGAACATGTATTAAAACTAAATTTCAAATGATAGACTTTTTTTTGCATCCTAAAAGACTTTTAATCATAAAAACATTCAGATAAATGTTTTTAGCCTAATGTAGGGGGGAAATGGAAATATAATATTTGCCTATTAAGAGCTCATCCCATTTTTAAAATGGATAACTAAGTATCCAATCACTGTAGTGTTTAGATTGCATGGGTATATTTTTAAAAGAGTGACATAAATAAGCTTTATTTTTTAAATGTCAGTATATACAATACACTAAAATATACTTCCTTTGCAACTTTTTAGAATTACGATAATTTTTTTTGTCAAAAGTGTGTGAAATGTTTAGTAGGTCTTCGTGTTAGGCAGGCCCACAAGCAGGAACCATGCCAAGGGTCTAGAAGGAACCTGATTGATTAATCTATCTTGATCTTTCATAGCTGAGGACCCAGGAGGGTTGGTTGATTTTCCCAAAGTCACACATTTGGGCCCAGAACATCAGTGTTCTTACTTGTTCATTCCTTTTACCACTTTGTGGGCTCCTTGTATCTGAAATCAAACCACCACTTTTGAGAGGTTTGTATGTGTGTGTGTGTGGAACAACTGGGGTGTAGGCTGGAGGTGTGGGATGGGCAGGATGCGAGAGGATTCACCAGAGACAGTCAGATTAACTGAAATGCACTGCTGAAGGGGGATAAGACAGGAGAGGTCTGCTGTGCCATGTGGGTCACCCCCCTAGGTGGGGGTTAACTCAGACCTTAGTCATGACAGCAGTGAGACTTAGCCCCTAGGCCACCTGGGAGTCCCCAAACCACCAGTTTTAAAGACTAAAGCAGGAAGACAAGGGATCACAAAATAACTCTAGAACAAATGGGACTTCTTGGGTAGGTGGCTCTTCACTCTGTTGTTCCAGCCCCAGTAATCAGGCTGGGAGGCCAGATCTCATGGGAGGTGATGTCCATGGCTGGAGGATACATCCAAAGGTTTCCACAAACTACAAGCTGGGATTTTTTCTTTGCCCCCTATCACCTGACCATAAACCTCACCTTTGAGATTCTCTAAGTCCATCTCGGAACACTTGGATTTTATCTGTTGGTCATCATAATAAACACACAAGAACGGTCCCCTGTTACATCTGATGACCACTGTACAACCACCAGTTTAAATAGCAGCCCGGGGGCCAAACCAGGCCACCAGAGCCCCTAAGATCGGATAGGAGCTGCAGTCGGCCAACTCCCTGGGGCCATGGAGCATCAAAGTGAACCCGCCTGCTGACACGCCACGCCAGACCTGAGTTCATATGCAGCCATCTGGCTGCATTCTTTGTGGGCTTTTCAGCTAAGGAGAGGCGCTGGACCACACTGGGGATGATACAAACAGAATTTTAAAAACAATTTCCAAGTTTTAGTTAATTTTATCTTCACAAATCCTGATTTTCCTATCAACAAATCAAACACATAGTTTAGGTATAATTGGGGTGGCAGGGGGGTGACTTTGGCCAACTGCCACCACACACCAAATAGACAGACCCAAGCAGGCTATGGACAAAAAGGGGTGCTGAACAGCACACTCAGTCCTGGGACACACTAGATAGAACAACATGGTTGGAGCTGGAGACACAGACCCTGAGGGCTGAGGGGACACAAGGCAAACAGGACAAGTCACGAGCCACTGTCAGGTCACGCGCCCGAGGTTGGGACCCTGCTGATGTTGCAGCCCGCCATCTTGTCCCCTTACGGCCCCCCGCCCCTTTCCCCCGCCTGCCAGCTGCCAACAGGGCTCTGCCCTGTGTCTGCCACACCTGTCACTGCCTGTCTTTGTTTCGGGGGGGCCCCATCAGCCCCTCCTCAGCCGCCCAGCAGAGCAAGCGGTTAGTGGGGAGGGGAGGGATCATGGAGAGGGGGCCAGTGGTGGGGGCAGGGCGGGGGGCCGGGGCCCGAATCCGGGCACTGCTGGGCTGCCTGGTTAAGGTGCTGCTCTGGGTGGCCTCTGGCTTGCTGTACTTTGGAAGTGAACAGGCCGCCCGCCTCCTCGGCAGCCCCTGCTTACGGCGGCTCTATCATGCCTGGTTGGCAGCAGTGGTCATCTTTGGGCCCCTCCTGCAGTTCCATGTCAACCCTCGGACTATCTTCGCCAGTCACGGAAACTTCTTCAACATGTGAGTCCATTCAAGGCTACGGGTGCTGGCCCCCGACACTCCTCAGCTCTCTCCCGGGCTTCTGTCCTTCTGCCAGTTAAGATTAAAAATAGGCGCAGAGGTTGAGGAGAAGGTCGGACAAGGGGGAGGGGAACAAAGTGATGGAGGTTCAGGGGAAGTGGGAAGCACAGCTGAATAGGAAATAGGGACCGTAAAAGGCTGACTAGGTCTCTAAGGAGATGGCAGAGTTTAGATGGGGAGAGAGGTAGATGGGTAATAGGACAGGGGAAACAGAACCAGTGGTGGTATGCAGGGCTGGGGACAGAACGGTGATGGGAACAGACCATGGTGGTGAGACAGGGCTGAGGGGTCTCAGTAGTTGGCCCTCTTTTCTGTTCACAGAAAGTTCGTGAATTCAGCATGGGGCTGGACATGCACCTTCCTGGGTGGTTTCGTGTTGCTCGTGGTGTTCCTGGCTACACGACGCGTGGCAGTGACTGCCCGGCACCTGAGCCGACTGGTGGTGGGGGCAGCTGTGTGGCGAGGGGCAGGCCGGGCCTTCCTACTCATCGAGGACCTGACGGGCTCCTGCTTTGAGCCTCTGCCCCAGGGCCTGCTGCTCCACGAGCTGCCAGACCGACGCAGTTGCTTGGCTGCTGGACACCAGTGGCGGGGCTACACTGTCTCCTCCCACACCTTTCTGCTCACCTTCTGTTGCCTGCTCATGGCTGAGGAAGCAGCGGTGTTTGCCAAGTACCTGGCCCATGGGCTGCCCGCCGGCACGCCTCTGCGTCTAGTCTTTCTGCTCAATGTGCTCCTGCTGGGCCTCTGGAACTTCTTGCTGCTCTGTACCGTCATCTATTTCCACCAGTATACTCACAAGGTGGTGGGTGCCGCGGTGGGCACCTTTGCCTGGTACCTCACCTATGGCAGCTGGTATCATCAAGCCTGGTCTCCAGGGAGTCCAGGCCACGGGCTCTTCCCTCGCGCTCACTCCAGCCGCAAGCATAACTGAAAGAAATAAAGGCACATCAAGCCTGGCCCTGGCTCTGGTTCCTCTCATCATTTGGTTGGGGGCACCTGGGCAGGGTGGGCAGGGTGAAAAGAGAATCTGGTGGGCACTGTGGTTCCTCAGAGACCCAGTCTTGCTGCCCTCAAACATGAGTGCTGTCACCAACCTGAATATCCTTCCTTATGACTGGCCTCCGCGCCCCCTGCTGTCCTTGCAGTCTCCAAGCCCTTGTAGACTAAAAGCTACCTGGAGCTCTGATATCAAGCAATGGCACTGCCAGGGCAGGAATCAGCACCTTAGACATCCCAGAGAGCAGGTGCCCAAGCTCCAACCTGGTTGGTTGGTTTTTTTTTTTCTGAATCCTCCACTGACTGCTTTCCTCAGGGGCCTGCAGACCTGGCACTCAAGGTCCCTTCTGATCTGTCTTCCCTGGAGGGGTCTTTTTGTGCTCATTTATTTATTTATTTATTTTATTTATATATTTTTTAAAGATTTATTTATTTGCGCATACAGAACTGGGGTACAGGCCAGAGGCGGTGAGAGGCTTCACCAGAGACAGAGCAGGGAGCAGAACAGGCAGATCTACGAAGTACACTGCTGAGGGGAGCAGCGGCCGGTTCAGGAGAGGTCTGCCACGCCATGTGGTCACCTCCGGGGCAGGCGGGAATCGAACTCATGCGGAAGTGGCTTTGGCTTCTCAGCGCTGTGCTTTAACCCGCTGCGTCACCAGGGAGGGCCCTGTGCTCATTTATTTACTAGATGCTTATTGAGCTGACCGTAGCTATGTGGTATGTGAGTAAGCAAGACACACATTCTGCTTTTGGGCGCAGGGGCTATGGGTTACTAGGGGAGCAGGTGATAAACTCAAAAATAGTACTTATATTGTGCTCTGTGCTGGACACTGCTCTGAGTGTATCTACACACATATAAATTAACATAATTAATATATTAATATATTATAATTAATATAATTCAGTCCTTACCACACCACCACTATGAGGAAGGTTTAGTTGTGCTTCCCTCATATAGTTGTAAAATGGAGGCACAAAGGTTAAGTAACTGTCTACAGCTAGTAAATATGAGAGGCAGGATTATAAACACAGGCAATATGGATCCATTGTCTGTGCCCTAAGCCAGGGATCAGCAAACGACAGCCCTCCTGTGGCTGGTTTTTGTATGACTTGAAAGCACAGTATTTACATTTCCATGTGGTGGACAAAAAAATCAAAGAAAAATTTTATTTCATGCCCTGTGAAAATTACACAAAATTCAGATTCATGTCCATACATGATGTTTTATCAGAACCTAGTCATGCTAATTCACTTAGGTATAGCTATTTACCCGATAGAAGGGCAGAGTTGAGTATAGACAATACATGGTCCACAAATCCTAAAATATTTACTACTGGCCTGTTACAGAAAAAGTTCTTCAACCGCTGTTCTAAACCACACTATCTTCAAAACACTGATAACAGGGAGGTTAGTGCTATGAAGGTCCTAAAACAGGTTGCTTTGTAATAAAGAGACTTGGAGAGAGGATGATGCAGTTTTCTTTGAAGGTGGGACATAAAAGTTGAGAGCCCAGTGACAAGGTGAGGTAAGGGGTGTGTCAGGTGAAACCACTTGCTAGGACAAAGCTCCTGAGGCAGGAATGGCGATTGACAGGCTTACGAAACAAATGGGAAACCCAGGTATTTGCAAGTGTAATGAAAGGAAAAAGTAGTGGAAAGTTAAGAACAGGTGCCAGACAGGTCGGTCAGGCCTTATGAGCCAGGGACATCCTTTGGATTTCATTCTAAGATCAACAGGAAGCTGAGGGTGTTAAGCAAAATAAGGGTGGCTCCCACCGTTATGTGAATTGTGGGTCATAGAGCCACGGGGTCCACGGAGGTCAGGAAAGTGCTCAGTGGGACGTGGATTGGGGGTGGGGGTGGAGATGGGGGTCCAGCGTAGGAATGTGGAGCCAGACGCTGGTGTGTGCTCCACGGCTAAGATGGAAGAGTAAGGCTTATCGCCACCTCACCACACTGGGGAAGAATCTGGAGGCAGCAGGGTGGGCGGGCACTGGGGGGGGAGGCGGGAGGAAGGCTTGGGAGGTGAGGGGAGATGCTGTAAAGGGCTGGGCCGAGCCGTAGCTGGGGCGTCCAGAGAGAGACTCAGAGGGGGAGAGGCTGGGAAGGGGGCGTGGAGGAGGGCGGAGACGGGAGAGAAGGGGTGGGAAGAGGCTGGAGAAGGAGGGGGTCCAGAGACTGACAGAAGCGGGCCGCGAGTGGAGAGCGGATGGAGAGGGGTAAACGACCCGGGGGAGGAGGTCGGCGGAAACGCTCCTCTGCGGCTCTAGGGGGAGCCCCGCTCGGCGGTGCCTCCGCCCCTCCGCCGGCCTCCTCTCTCTAGCCTGAGCCCGCCTCCTCCAGCACCTCCACTCCTCGCTACCCAGGAAGGTCGAGCGGCTGTGAGCGCTGCTTTCACTTTCCCTTCCCCGTGCCCACTCCTCGCTCCTCGTGCGGCGCTGGCCCCCCGCCCCGGCCATGGCCACGCTCAGTGTCCAGCCTGAAGCCCAAGCCAAGGTGAGCTCTGCGGTTCGAAGAGGGGCCCATTGGGGAGGCGTGGCTCGAAAAGATTCCAGCCGTCCGAGACCCGCCCCCCACCCCCGGACCCCAGACTCGAGTGGGAGGGTCGTCATCCGAGCGCCCGCGCCGTGCCCGGAGCACCTGAGCCTGGGGGGAGGCCGGAGCGTTCTGCCCTCCCGGAGAGGCCAGGCGGCTGGGGTTCAGCGGGGTGAGGTGAAGCGGAGAGCTAGCTAGCATGGAGGGGAAGTCCGCTGGCCCGCGGCCACACACTGTGGGGGTGTAGCCTAACCTGCTGCTTCAACGGCCGTCTACACAGGATGGCCCAAGCTCACGCCACAGGGCACTCGGGCCCCCCTCCTAGTCGGAGACCCAAGGGTCTGCTCCTACTTAAACCAATTGCCCTTGGCCGCCAGGAAATAGAGTCCCCCAAACCAGCCCCGAGGGGTCCATTCTACCCTCCCCGCCCAAACTTTACACAACCTCAGTGAAGCGGCCTCCAGTAAGCTGGCCGTAAAGCCAGGCGTTTGAAGGAGTGTCTGTCCCACAGGTGAATGTGTTCCGTGAAGACCTATGTACCAAGGTAAGTTAACCTGCCCCTCAGCACCCCACCCCTCCCCAGTTCCCACTGCTCAACTCTTCCCCTGCTTCACCGCCCAGGAAAGGAGTTTGGTTCTGACTCCCTTGTCCCCACGTTCACCTCATGCACAGGCAGAGAACCTCCTTGGAAGCTACTTCCCCAAGAAGATTTCTGAGTTGGATGCGTTTTTAAAGGTACCGGTGCAGGAAGAGCGCTAGCGAGAGTAGGGGTGAAGGGCAGAGTAGGGGTGACGGGGAGAGTCGGAGGTGCCGGGAGAGGACCATCCTCACCTCCAGCCATCTTCCCATCCTGCACCAGGAGCCAGCTCTCAATGAAACTAACCTGAGCAGTCTGAAGGCCACTTTGGACATCCCAGTGCCTGATCCAGCCAAGGAGAAAGAAAAGGAAGAGCGGAAAAAACAGCAGGAGGCAAGTTGGGAAGGACTGGGAGGGAGTTACCGAGCCATGGGGAAAATCATTCTCAGGCCTCTCTCCCAAGATACCCCCTCTCCTTGCAGAAGGAAGACAAGGATGAAAAAAAGAAAGGGGAAGATGAAGACAAAGGTAACCCTCCAGTGGAAAGGGACTTGAATCTCACCTCCCCGGAGATCCTCCCTTCTCTGCCTCTCACAGTTCTGGCCAGGTGACTGACCCATTGCCCTTTCCCTAGGTCCTCCCTGTGGCCCAGTGAGCTGCAATGAGAAGATCGTGGTTCTTCTGCAGCGTCTAAAGCCTGAGATCAAGGATGTCATCGAGCAACTTAACCTAGTGAGTGCTCCCACTTCCACCCCCAGACTTCAATCAAACCCTTTTCCCTCCTTGGCTCCTGCCAGCTAGGGAGTAACCTGCCAGATCGCATCAGGAGAGGGCACAGCAAGGGAAGCCAGAAGTGCAGGCCTTGGGATTGAGGGTGGACCAGGCATATCTCCACTTGCTGTGGGGAGGAAAGGGAGCATAGGAACCTAGGAATTGGCTTGGGGCTGATGTTTTCCCTCCTTCCAGGTCACCACCTGGTTGCAGCTACAGATACCTCGGATTGAGGATGGAAACAACTTCGGAGTGGCTGTCCAGGTGAGAATGCTGCCCATTCCTTCCCTCCCTCCCTCTCTAGTCCGTGCTGCTTTCCACCGTCCCCTCTGTGTCTGTTCCCCAGGAGAAGGTGTTTGAATTGATGACCAGTCTTCACACCAAGCTGGAAGGCTTCCACACTCAAATCTCCAAGTGAGTGACTGCCCACCAGCACCCACAAGCAAACTCTGCCTTTGGCTTGAACAGAGGCCTGGGCTGCCTCCTCCCACTCCACAGCCTTCTATTTCCCACAGGTATTTCTCTGAGCGGGGTGATGCTGTGACCAAAGCAGCCAAGCAACCCCATGTGGTAGGTGAGGCACTGGGGAGGCTGTGGGAGGGAAGGACACATTGAAGTCAAGCCTGACCCAAGTCTCCCACAGGGTGATTACCGGCAGCTGGTGCACGAGCTAGATGAGGCAGAGTACCGGGACATCCGGCTGATGGTCATGGAGATCCGCAACGCTTATGTGAGGAGGCCAGGGCAGGGGTGGGCAGAGGCAGCTTTCCCAGGACACCCACTTCCTAACCCTGCAGGCTGGGGGTGAAGAATGACAAAACTCAACTCTTCCACAAGACTAGAAATGGGGCACAGAGCCACTGGGGGCCTACAGCTGACCCCCCACTCCTTCTTGGCCCTATAGGCTGTGTTATATGACATCATCCTGAAGAACTTCGAGAAGCTCAAGAAGCCCAGGGGAGAGACAAAAGGAATGATCTATTGAGAGCTTCTCGTTCTGTGATGAGTCCAGGAAAGACCTTCCTGTCTTTATAGGGCAGTCCAGACTTTCCCCCACCTTCCTCTTCCTGGTGAGATTTCTCCCTCATTTTGCCTCCCAGGCACAATAAACATAAGTCATATGGTGGCCCATCAGCCCAAGTCTGTTTATTGGATTCTGACCCCTGCCCAACTCAACCCCTCACCCCAACCCTCATCAGGTATTTCCATTGGTGGGACCAACCCACTGGCTGATTTGAGTGTTGAGTTGCTGGTTGGTCCAATCCTGTCGGATGTCATCAAGGTGGCAGTCAAAATCTACAAGGTGCTGATAGGCTCGACCCTGTAGTAGTGCTCCCACCATCTGCCGTGACTCTTCCCAGTCCCTCCACATCACTCTGAAATAATAACCCCATGGAGGTCAAGCTCAGTGGCAGAGGGAGCAGGTGCTTGGCAGAGGCTAGGTCTAGGCAGGCCCAAGGACAGAGGAGCCCTAGGCATGGTGGGTTTCCAGGAAGAGGTGAAGGGTGGGGGGCACTCACAAATTCTTGTCCTTGGGGACCCAGCGGAGACTGTGGTTCTCCAGTACGATGACTGGGGGCACATGAGGCTGAGGCACCAATTTCTGATTATCCAACTGTGTGGACAAGGAAAGGCAGGTGAGGGTTTTAAGGATTCCCCTCCTTACTCTCTCTCCAACTCCCTACCTGAAACCCAAGCCTCACCATAATAAGTACTGCATCCGGGAAGAATTCTGCAATCCGCCCAGCAATTTTCAAGGCCAGGGGCCCAGGGCTGTGTAGAGGAAAGATCGGAGTGAGGAACCAACTGTGGGCAGAACCAGTTCCATCTGACCTGGGCCTCCCAGGTCACACAGACATGGGCACAGAGGCCTTTCTCTGTGCTGGCCTGAAATCAGGCCAGCTTGATGCTTCACACAAGACGACTTGATGCTTGAGGGCTATGGGAAACAGGTGCACAGACAGTGCTGGTGAGTGGAAATCAAAGGTGTCCTTTCTGGAGGGTAATACGGCATAACCAACCCAATTGAAAATGCACTATTTTTGATCTACACAGATTATACATACACATCTACACAGACCAAGAAAGTCCACTTATAAAGAAGTTATCGTGTCTGTAATAAAAAAAGTTGGAAACCAATCTCAATGTTTTATGTAATGTAAGGCATTTCACACATTATGGCATGTGCATATTTATATATTTATACTACATAGCCCTTATAAGATAGATCTTGGTGTAGAGAGGGAAAGATCAGATTTATTGAGGGGGAAGGAAATTGCAAAACTGTAAAATTTCATCCAGATCTATGGCTAATATATATATATATATATAAAATATATGGAAGTGCCCTTTTAAAAAGCTGCTGATTGGGCTTGCCCTATATTCTCTCTGCACATGGGGGACCCTCAGATAAAGCAGGTTACCAGCCCGGTTTTAGTGAAGCACAGTGGCCTACCCCTGCACTGCAGCGCCTCCAGGTCATCTATATTTTTATTCCTTCCTTTCAGTTCCCAGCCCTGTGCCAGCAGGGCTTGTGTTTAATGAAAACAAGACGGAATGACCAAGAGGGGTCCCTTGACACTCCCACCCCACTTCCTCCTTAGCCTTCTGCCTCTGGCTGTCCTACTCACCTCTGGTCGTCCAGAGCTGCATTGGCATGGTAGTACCCAGCCACTACCAGACCGGCCTGCGCGCCCCACACATCCACCTGCCGCGGGAAAGGGGCCATCAGTAACTAGGTTGTGCGCCCGCCCTACGGGTGCGCTCGGCCTCCAAGACCAGAGGTAGGTTTAGGCTAGGGGTCACGGGCTTCGCGATCGTCCGTGGGCGTCCAGCAACCGCACCTGGTTGAGGGCGACCTCCAGCATGACGGAAAGGGCCAGGTGACTGTGGAACAGGGGCACACAGTCGGTGAGGCACAGGCACTCCCCGGGCCGCGGCGCCGGCGCCAGTAACAAGCCGTTGACCGCGGCGTGAGGGTACCGGGCGGCGTGCAGGCACATCTTCACGTAGGCCCGGGCCGAGATCTCCACCTCCCCCATGGCGAGCGGGGCCCGGGTTCGCGTCCGCGAAGCTCCCTCCAGAGCCCCAGCGCCCTCCTGGGCGCTTCCCGAGCCCCTTCACTTAGGCTCGGCGGTGAAGCCGACTGAAGGCAGCCCGCGGCTCCGGGCGACCTGGACCCCACGCCGGGTCTCCACCCGGCCCAGCAGGCAGGCGGCCCGGATTGCCGGCCGAGCCGCCCAGCTCCGCCCCCTCTCGGCCCACGCCGGCGGCAGCGACGCGCGGGTGCGCGGGTGCTGGGAGCCGGCGACTCGCGGCCGGAACCACTTCTGGAGTCCCGCCCACGTGGTGTCCTCTGATAGGCTCAGAGGTTCTCGCCTTGTCCAATGACCCGCCGCAGTCCAAGCCTCGCCCCGCCTTTTTCTCCAGTGAACTGGAAAGCACCCACAAATGTTAAGTGAACAGCCCGCGCGCCGATTGGGTTACTAGACCGCGGCTCTCGGTGGCAGGCTGGTTTCGCCAGCTTCGCTGCCGCCCGCACCCGTGCAGGAGTGCGGGAGCAGGGGCTCTTCGGACGTGGGCGCGTAGCGAACAACCCTACTCCTGCGATAGAATGGGCGAATTCGTACTTCAGACCGGCTCTATCATTTACTAATGAGCCGTGTTACCTTTCGTGCTGGATTATCTGCCTTGATACAGTATCTGTTGAAATAAAGATGGCAGTCGACTGAAGGAGGGAAAAAAGAATAAAAAGGGAATGGACAGACCCTTCGTTCTCATAATGCCCAACGGTGTGATTTCCTCCTCCTTGGAGGAGCCCTCTTCCACTCCAGTCCTTGAGAAGGAACCCAATCATTCACCCGTAATTCTAGTGAAACCTCATTTGCTCTCTAGGCTTGGGCTCTGAGCCGGTAGCCAGCATCCTTCTTTTCTTCATCCCGTAGCCTCAGCCACAGAGCTTTCTCCTAGTCTGTCCAAATGCCACCTCTTTCAAGGAAGCATTTGGAAAAAATCTTGTGAAATTTCAAAATATGGCTTATCTTCATGGCTGATTTGGCATGTAGCAGTTTCTACTCTGTTCTCTGGGTTGATTTCTCAAGAACAGGAAGGGCATCTAAATCATCTTTGTCTGCCTGGCACCTCTTTCCTTTCCCAGTGCCACACTCACATTAGGTGTCTGGACACAGGTGCTACTCAATACATGCTTTGTGAATGAATGCCATGCACCAAAATTAATCCACAAAGTAAGTTATTTATTTCTTTCCAACCCTGGACTCAATACATAGATGGCTTCTCTTCACCTTTTGGGTTGACAATTTTCTCCAGGTTGCTGCTGATGATATGATAAAGCTCAGCCTGGAAGAAAAGACAGAAGGTCAGGTTCGTGGCTTTTCACCTGCCTCCCTCAGCCACCTCCTTTAGGGGTTTTCCCCACACTCACATAGAAGGACCTCAGGTGCAGCACCATGGCCCGGAGCTCCCCATAGGCCGCCTCATCTTTCTCATGCACCAGAGCTCGGTAATCCATCTGGAACGTAGGAAGCAAAGTTGAGTCAGTTGCATGGGAGGTTGGGACATTAATCGGGTTTCTTCATTCAGGCAATAGGTAACTTGAGTATGAAACCTTTTTCAGCATCAAGAAATGGGATCCCACAGGGTCAAGCAGAGAGAAAGAGACCAAAGATTTTAAAGCCCAAATGAATTTTCATAGGCAAATTAAAATGTTTTTTTTTTTGTAATATTTTTCATATTGGGAAGGTCATAATTAAGACCAGGAGGACTGCTATCCTTCTGCCCTTCCTTGCCCCACCCCCAGGCAGTCTCATCCAAAAAGCTGAGAACTAATCTACTCACTACATAGGTCTCCTTAGAGGCTTTGGCCACGGCATCCCCACGTTCTGAGAAGTATCTGTTAAAAGGGAGCAATCACAGGAATGGGCGTCCGGAGGGACTTCCTCAGGCCCTTCCCAAGGCCCTCTACCCTCCTGATGGGACTAACCAGCTTTGGGAGTCCCAAAGAAATGTCCCTGCAGCCCCCCATGCTGGCCCTCCAACTGTCCTCACTTGGAAATAGTTGTCTGGAAGGCTTCTACTTTGGTCTTGACCGCATTCACCCTCTCTAACACCTTCTCCTGTGGTGGCAAAAAAGATAGGCAAAGAAAACACTTCATTTCCCTCCTTCATTCGTCACCCCCCCCCTTCTCCCAGTTCACGTCTAACTCTTATCCCTCACTCCCAAGTCTCTCCCTACTTTCAGTGTCTTCACACACCCTGTTCTTACCTGGATTGCTACCCCAAAGTCATTTCCATCCTCAATTTTGGGGATCAAGTGCTGAATCCATGTGATCACCTATGTTACAAATAACAAATGGGAATCATTGAATGAACTCAATTACTGCCACTTGCTAATAGCTTATTTGGGCATTCATGTGCCAGACACCATCCTAAGCATTATATATTTCATTTAATCTTCACAGCTACTTGTCAAAGCACCCTACTGTATAATACACTTGTAATAATATTGTACTCACTTACCAGATGAAAAAGCTGGGGTTGCAGAATGTCTACATGATTTATTTCACCAGCTAGGTAAGCAGCTAGCTAAATGATAGAGCCAGAATTTGTGGGGTACACCTAAGCCAGGCAGCCTTTCCCTGGGCCCCAAGCCCTTAAACCCACTCACTGTACCAGAGCACCTGCACTGTGCACCTGGTACAGCAGTAAGTTCTGAGTTTATGGAGGTAGTTGTACCACAGTGACATCAGAGGTCTAACAGAGAGAGGAGAACAAAAGGTATCTAAGCCCAAGGCAGAAGGAAGCTTTCTGGAACAGCTTCCTGAGCAAGGACTTACATCTGTGAAGGAGACCTGGGCCTGGCCTGGCTTGTCTTTTCTTTCCCCACTCCCCAGGCTTACCAGAATGCATTTCTCTTTGAGAGTCCAGACTTCTGGCTTCACCAGGGCAAGCAGCGCCAGGACCTTCTCATTCCCAGGAAGAAAGCCACACTTAGGGACTGTAAGAAAGAGAGAATTAGCACCTTCTCCTCCAGCAGCCAATGTGCCATTCCTCTCTCCCCAGTCTCCCTTTCCTCTCTTACCTTCTTTCTTTTCCTGCTTATCTGTTTCCATCTAAGGTAAAAACAGGGAGAGAAGCTTTAGGAAAGGCATAGGGGTTGGAGGGCCAACTGGGATTAAAGTCCAAATCCTACACCCTGATTAAAGTCCAAATTCTACGCCCCAAGTGCCTCACCTCATCATCCTTGGGTGGGGGGTCTGGAATGGGGATGTCCAGTGGGGCCCGGAGCGAGGTCAGGTCAGCCACATTGAGGGTGTCCTCCTGTACAGAGCACAGTGTCGGAGTTGACTGCTTGCTCTCTTTTCCCCAACCCGAGTCAGTCTCTCTCTACACATCCCATCCATCTGCTACCTCCCTACCTAGATTGAGGCTCTCACCATCTTAATAGACTCAGCCCAATTCTCACAACTGCTCTCTGAATGCTGAACTCTTAGTCAAAGAGGGTGAGTGGAAAGGGGAGAATCCAGGCCATGGGGCAGGAGGACCCGCACTACTCACTTGCAAGAGCTGATTCAAGCATATGATTTTCTGTGGCAAGAATCTGGAGAGGAATTCCTCAGCCTGTGGATTACATCACAAGGGTTGGGACCCACAGAAGATGCTCAAGGACATGTCTGAGAAGAGGGACTGAACGGGCCCTTAGAAATCATCAAATACAAGACAGGAAATGGAAGCCCTTAAGAACGAGGGGACTTGCCCGTGTTGGGAAGTATCAGAAGCAAGGTTGAGACTGTGGTATTCATATTTTGGGGACACAGTTTTTCCCTCCCCACCAAAAGAGGGGAGAGGAAATGGCAGAAGTGAGGATAGTATTAACAGCAGTCAAATTAAAAGCAGATCAATGACTTTATCTTGGGTGAAGTCTTGATAAATGGGGACCAGGTCTGGGGTGGATGTGAGGGTCACTCTGAGAGGCTGCCACACTCAATTATTGATTTAATATTTAATATTTGTCTCAGGTCAGAAGACTTACCTCCTGGAAAAGATTTTGCCTGAAGATATCCACCTGCACAGAGAGCGGTACCCGGATGTTAGTTAAGGGTCTCACTTATCAAGAGTAAGATCCACCCCTAACGGGATGCCCTCCAACTTGGCTCCGGCCTTTCCCACCACCAATTTCCCTGGAAGCCCAGGCTCGGTGCAGAGATTGACCAGGGCCAGAGATCTGAGAAGCCCCGAGCAGAAGTGAAAGCATTATAGCAAAAGGTGGAATACTTTCTGGCCGTGGGCCCCTGGATCACCCAATCTGGCCTCCATCGGAAAAGGCACCCCGGCTCCTTCCTGGCTTCCAGTCCCCCCTTACCTGTTTTCGGGCTTCCCCGCTCAGGCGCACCCCACAAGGTTTGGCCATGCTGCCCCAGTTGCTAGATCTCAGGTCTCCCGGCTCGCCGCCTGGGCTTTCGCTTTCACTCCCCAGGTCCAGGCCCGCCCCCCTCAGCCCCGCCCCCCTCTTTCTTTTCACCCTCCCACTAGCTGGCTGCAAACCGTCGGGAGCCCCTCAGCCATTCTCGGCCAGTTGCGGCTAGAAGAGGCGGTGCAACTTGGTCGCTAGCCCAAGGGCTGTCTGAGGGAGGGGCTAGGGCGAGTGGGCTGTGAGAGACTGCGCAGGGGCTGTCCCTCCGAGAGGGACGGGGCTTAGAAGGAGGGGCCCCGTCCCCTCCTTCTGGGGGGAAGTCCGGGGTGAGGGCGAGAGGGTGGGAGAATGGGAAAGGGGGTGTTCAGTGATGGGGCTTTCCCTAGAAAATTCGGCTGCGGGGCGGGCCCAGAGAGGAATGAGAGTGGGTGGAAGCAGCAACAGGAGGCAGCGGCCGGGGCTGAGGAGGGCCAGCAGGAAGTGGAAGAGAGGCGGCGTGGGGGCTTTCCCCCCGCGGAGCGTCCAGCGCTCAGACCCCCTCGAGAAGGGTGGGACCGGCTCCGGCTCAGGCCGCCCAGGATCGAGCCCCGGGCCGAGAGGATCCTCCCTGGTAGAGCAGAACTGCTCGCTCGTGATCGGAGCATGATCGACAGGTCCGGATAGAGGGAATTGGGGTAACCCGGCTTCTGGGACTATGCAGAAAAGGGCGGAAGCACCCCAGAGGCGTGCGGGAAGAGCTACCGCCCGCTCAGAAGCTGCGACAGCCTGGGGAGGGGTCAGGGCCCTTTACCGCTCTCATTGGCTGGGATCTAGCTTCCCTTCTGGGCCACACCCCCTGATTTCCTGACCCCCCCGCCTTCCCTAAACCCTAAACCCCTCCTGTTCCCCTGAAACTGGGTCGCAGTCCCGCCCTCTTCTGTGGTACTTCCTGTTCCCGGCTAACCCTGGCCTGGGGCCGGGGGCCGAGGATGACCGTGGCCTGAGTGACCCCGGGGGACGGCGCCGATCGGGTTGGGCGGCAGAACCGGACCCCGGGCGGGAGGGGCGGCGGGAGGGCCTCGCGCTGCGTGCGCGGGGTCCCGGCGGGCGGCGGGGCTGGGGCTGACTCCTGTCTCAGGATGCCCGGGGAGGAGGAGGAGCGGGCGTTCCTGGCGGCCCGCGAAGAGCTAGCGAGCGCCCTGAGGAGGGATTCCGGGCGGACGTTTTCTCCGGAGCAGCTCCAGCCCCTACTGGCCACCTCTCTGCCGCTAGCCGCCCGCTACCTGCAACTGGACGCCGCACGTCTGATCCGCTGCAACGTTCGCGGGGAGGTGAGGCCGAGCCCCGCTCGGGAGGGGCACCCGAGCCCCGGCGGGGTTCACAGCGGTCTGCTTTCTGACTGCTTCCAGCCCCGACACTACCTCAACACTCTCTCTACGGCCCTGAACATCCTGGAGAAATACGGACGCAACCTCCTCAGCCCTGAGCGGCCCCGTTACTGGCGCGGGGTCAAGTTTAATAATCCTGTTTTTCGAAGTACGGTGGATGCTGTGCAGGTGAAATCCCTGGGTCCCTTATGGAAGGAGACAAGGCCAGGACTGGAGGTTGGCCAGAAAAGGCCTGAGGCAGTGCTGAAAATAGGGAGGGATCCAGTCCTACTGGGGAGAGGTGGTGATGGATTGTGAATGTGTGGCAGGGGGGCCGGGATGTTTTGCGATTGTATGGCTACACAGAGGAGCAGCCAGATGGGTTGAGCTTCCCCGAGGGGCAGGAGGAGCCAGATGAGCACCAAGTTGCAACAGTCACACTGGAAGTACTGCTGCTGAGGACAGAGCTTAGCCTACTGTTACAGGTGAGATGTCCCAGTCCTGAGGCGGTCAGCACCAGAGCTATTCTGGGAACTCCGGTGCTGCCCCATGGTGTGCATAGCCCACAGCAACCTGGGAGCGCCCCGTAATGTTGTCTCCACCAAGTTGGGGTCAAGGACTTTTGGAGAAGGTCTGGTTTTAGGGCTGGAGGTGGGAACTCTTTTCTTGTTTACAGAATACTCACCCAAAGCAGCAAGCACTGGAACAACTGCTGAAAGACAAGGCTGAAGAAGATGTAAGGAAGGCAGGAATGGGGTTCCCGGGCTTGGTGAACAAAGGGATTGGGTTGTGGGACTCTGATCCAAACCCTTCCCCATGCTCTGCCTTTTTTCTTCAGATGCTGCAGCTCTCAGAGTTTGCCCTTGTGAGAGAGATTGCTCCTGGCTCCCTCACTACACTCTCTGCCCCAGGTATATTGAGCCTATGGTGGGCGTGGGGGAAACAGTATTAATAGATCATATTGATAGAAATTTGGGGTCTTCTGTCTTCTGAGTTAGCGTCTTTCTTTTTAAAAAGAGATTCAAATTGTTTCCTTGGGTCCAGATACATTGAAATGTAGGCTGTGATTTGTCCCCTTTCACAGCAGATGAAAATGTAAACCGGTCTTTTTCAGAAAGATATCCTACCCTTTCTCCTGTTCTCCAGGCTCTACTCCTGGTCCCTGCTTCCTCTGTGGTTCTGCCCCTGGCACACTGCACTGCTCAGCCTGTAAACAGACTTTGTGTTCAGCTTGTGATCGTCTATTTCATGGGCACCCATCTCGTGCCCATCACCTCCGCCAGACCCTGTCTGGAACCCCCCAGGCCACCCACCTGATCCCCAGGTGAGAGGCCATCTCTTTTGAGTGCATGTGAAATTGAGAGAACTGACGATTACTTGTATGTAGGATGTGCCAGGTTCTGTACTAAAGACTGTATCAAAGAGAACAAGCTGGCAGTTACTACTTTCCGGGACATCAGAGGAATATGTATCAAGCAAGTAGTAGTCACAGCCAGATAATTATGATGTGCAAATAGGTGTTAGGAGGATGCTGCTTAGGCTAAAGGATCATTAAATCAGTTGGCAGTATTGTAACACTGAAAATAGGCCAAGCTCTATGTTGGAGATATCTACCAAGATAGGAACATTAAACCACCATTTAAACACTGAGCAGGCTATAGGTGTGGCATTGTTCCAGATGCAGAACAACATGGCAAAGGTCTTGCAGGGTATGTGGGATGGCCAGGGGTAAAGGGACCATGACATCAGCCCCCACCCTTCATCCCCCCAGAAAGCCATGTCTGCTTTTTCATTCCAGCTTACCTGCCTCAGCTCCATCATGGCCTCAGTCAACCTCCCAGCTGGCCCTGGGAGACAGCGCTTTATCTTCCCCTGATCCTGCAAGTGCCCGTCTGCCGTGGCACTGTGCTGCCTGTGCCATAATGAATGAACCTTACGCCGTGCTCTGTGTGGCCTGTGATCGACCCCGAGGCTGTAAGGGGCTGGGGACTGAGGGTCCCCAAAGAGCTGGGGGTCTAGAACCCCTTGCACGGGGTCGCTGGGCCTGCCAGAGCTGCACCTTTGAGAACGAGGCGGCAGCCGTGCTGTGTGCCATCTGTGAGCGACCTCGCCTGGCGCAGCCTCCAAGCTTGATGGTAGATTCTCGGGATGCTGACATTTGCCTGCAGCCCCTACAGGTAACCTGTTCTTGCCCTTCCAGCTCTTTCTCTGCACCTACTCCCACAGGCTATCCTCTTCTTCCTCTTCCATTTTCCTCCCGTTCCCCCCATGTTTTTCCCGGAGCTCCCTGTCTTCTCCTCTTGAGCCTCAGCCAGCTTTCAATGGGATAATTCTTTCTGCCCTCTCAGCAGGAGGATACTTTGCTCTCCTTTGCCCAGACTCACGTCTGGTACTGTAGTCACTGTACCTTCTGCAACTCGGGCCCCGGCTGGGTGTGTGCTATGTGCAACCGGACCAGCAGCCCCACCCCAGTACAGCACACCTCCCGGCCTCATGCCAGATCTTTGGAAGAACATCTCCACGAGCCAGGGCCCTCACGACGCTTCAGTGCCCCCGTGCCCAGTTCCTGTGGGGACCCTGAGAAACAGCGCCAAGACAAGATGCGGGAGGAAGGTCTTCAGCTAGTTGTCAAGATCCGGGTAAGGGTTCGGGTTGAAGATGAAGTAGGCGGAGCTGGGGGGAGAAGGGAGAGTCTGCAGTTAATAACTACAACTTCATATAGAACTTGTCGTTGTGAACATGCTCCCATGACCCGACGTCAGAGCTTCACCAGTGCAGCATTTTGGTGCAGACTAAGTGCAGGTGGAGAGCGCCCTTCCTCACAGACTGTCTGGGTGGGTCTGTGTCTTAGGAAGGGGAAGCTTCAGGTGCCTGCCCAGAGGAGGTCTTCTCGGCGCTGCAGTACTCGGGGACCGAGGTGCCCTTACAGTGGTTGTGCTCAGAGCTGCCCTGTGTGCTGGAGATGGTGGCTGAGCTGGCTGGGCAGCAGGACCCGGGCCTGGGTGTCTTTTCCTGTCAGGAGGCCCGGAAAGCCTGGCTCGACCGTCACGGCAACCTTGATGAAGCTGTGGAAGAGTGCGTGAGGGCCCGGCGGAGGAAGGTATCAGAGGCGAGCTGGACATGGGACGGGGCTGTGGGTCTCGGGGCCTCAGACCTCTCAGGCTCGCCTTTGCTTCTTTTTTACCTCTTCACTCCTCTTTTCACCCACCGCGCACAGGTGCGGGAGCTCTGGTCCCTGGGCTTCGGGCCCGAGGAGGGGTCTCTTCAGGCTTTGTTCCAACACGGGGGTGACGTGGCCCGGGCCCTGACTGAGCTGCAGCGCCAGCGCCTAGAACCCTTCCACCAGCGCCTCTGGGACAATGGCCCTGAGCCCACCCCTTCCTGGGACAGTCCAGATAAGCAGGTGCTGGAAGGGGCGAAGGGCCTACTGTCAGGGGCAGGGACGTCTGAGGGCTCGCATCCTTTGGGTCTGACGGTCACTTCTTCCCTGAATCACACTGCAGAGCCTAGTGAGACGACTTTTGGCAGTCTATGCCCTCCCCAGCTGGGGCCGGGCAGAGCTGGCTCTGTCACTGCTGCAGGAGACACCCAGGAACTATGACTTGGGGGACGTCGTGGAAGCTGTGAGGCATAGCCACGACCGGGCCTTCCTGCGCCGCTTGCTTGCTCAGGAGTGTGCAGTGTGTGGCTGGACCCTGCCCCGCAACCGGGTAAGCCCCTCTCTACCCACTGAATCTGCCTTAGAATCACTCTCTTCCTTTGGACTCCCCCTCTTCACCCCCTTCCATCCGAGTCTCCCGTCTTTTGCTTAGTAGTTACTATGTCTCCCTGAAGGCTTCTGGGAAGGAGACATGAAGAGTGGACCACCCCTTCACTTTTTTAAATATTCTAGATGGAAAACTTTAAACATACAGTAGTAGGGAAAAACTGTATAACAAGTTCTTTCCTGCATTCTTCCTCCTCCCACCAAGCTTCATGGATGGATATGGCCAGTCTTTTTCACCTGCAGGCACAGAGGATTATTTTGAAGCAAATCTCAGGCATCATATAGTTTGTAAATATTTCAGAACGTATACCTAAAAGATAACATAGCCACACTGAAAAGATAACATTATCACACCAAAAAGAAAAACTGACCAGCTGTTTGTCAAATAATTTGTCAAAAATCCAATGGGTAGGAACAGGCTCCTCTTATCTGAGCCCTCCACTGTCAGGAGTGGCAGATTTTTAGCCAAATACAGTCCAGTTTACTTAGGCTGAGTATTTTTGCTTGGTTTTGTTTTAACTCTTTCTCTAAAAAGAATGGATTCACAGGAATTGGTACGAGTTGGAGAGTCTGTGCGCTGTCCCCACCCCCCCCTCAGTATTGACGTCTTAGACGATGTAGCCCACTGTCAAGACCTAGAAGTGGACATCGGTGCAGCAGTAGCCAGGCTGCAGGTCTTTTTCACTTCTCATGTGTGTCTGTGGTTCTCTGAAGTCTTAGCCCAGTAGAGATTCATATAACCAACACCAGGCAAGAATTCCATCACCGGCCCTCATGCTTCTCCTTCGCTCGTAGCCTTCCCTCCTCCCAGCCCCTCATGACCTCTCATTTGGCCGCCATCTCTGGAGGCCTGTCATTAGCAGGATGTTATTCATGTGTTTGCTTTTTCTTCTCCACAAAGGGAACACTAACTGGAGGTTTAACATGAAATCAGACAAAGTGTGTATAGACACAAACTACCTCAAATCATAATACAGCGAAGGACAAAGAAAACGAACTGGCAACTGTAAGTGGGGCACAGTTGTGTCTTGCATCCTAGCAAGGCTACACAATAATCACCTGAGCGCCACGGAGAGTCAGTCTTCGTGTCATCCTGGAAGGTGGTCATGTTAGCTCCCCTTCTTGCCTTTGCCAATGTCCTCCGTTAGCATGGCTGGGATTGTGGCGGTAGATCGCCGCCCCTTTGAGATGCCTTGCTGTGAAGTGCTCTGTTGGCCTCTGTACCCCACATGTCCTGTCCACATCCATAGTCCCAGCAGTTACACACAGTAAAGTCATAGTTTTGACCACCACCATGGACCCTATTGTAATTTCCATATCCTTGATCATAACATTCAATCCTTGGTTCCAGTTTTGGTCCCTCACTTGGCCGCCACCCTGGGCACTGCCCGGCCCACCAGCAGAAGCACCCCTTCCTGCTTCGGTTGTTGATGGTGCTACCTACATTCCTCTTCGGGTTGTGCGACTTACTTCACACTTCCTAGAACCATTCTGAATATGTCTGCTATTTTTTTTTAGCAGATTCTTTACTGCTTTTGCTCTCTATATATGAGAACATAGAATTTTCTTTCATTTGTATACTTCATGGGAAGTTCATCTCCAAAGTCTCCAAAATACTTTTCAATTTGTTCTTTAAGAACTGTGCCCACTTACAGTCACCAGTTCATTTTCTTTGTGTTTACTTTGTCCTTTGCTGTTTTATGATTTGAGGTAGTTTGTGTCTATACACACTTTGTCTGATTTCATGTTAAACCTCCAACTAAGTGCTTCCTTTGTGGCGAAGAAAAAGCAAACACACAAATAACATCCTGCAGGTGACAGGCCTTCCTTGGTGGCACAGCAGGTTAGGATGCAGCCCTGCAAGCTAGCTACAGCCCTTTCAGTGCGAGTTTGATCCCTGACTCAGGAGCTGACCCACATGGCACGGCAGACCTCTCCTGTCTCACCCGCTGCTCCCCTCAGCATTGTACTTCGTAGACCTGCTTGTTCTGCTCCCTGCTCTGTCTCTCATGAATCCTCTCACACCCCTGCACCTCTGCCCTATATGCATACATAAATAAATCAATTTATTTATGTATGCATAAATAAATCTTAAAAAGATATATCTGGGCTCAATTTACCACAGACAAAGTGGGGCATAGAACAGGTATATCTGCTGAAATACTGCTGAGGGGAACAGCAGGCAAGACAGGAGGGGTCTGCTGCACCATGTGGATCAGCTCCCTGGCTGGCATTGAACTCAGGCCACAGTGGCAGGTGACAGTTGATAGTGCTGAGACTTTAACCTCTGTGCCACCAGGGAGGTCCCTCTGTGTTTGCTCTCTAATTAAATACGAACACCTTCCCAGACCTCAGGTCTCACCATTGCATTATCAGTTTCTTTCCACTTGACTGTCTTCAGATATTTAGGTAGCCTGCCTGGGCGCTTGGCATTTGAGGTCGCTACCTGCTGGCCCAGTGGTTAATGATCCTCGTTTCTCAGTGGACACTTGACTTCTGCCTTTCCTAGGCTAGCGACTGGCCTCTGATCCCTCCTCTCACTTTCTAGATGCAGTCCCTGACTTCCTGTGAGTGCACCATCTGTCCTGACTGCTTCTGCCAGCACTTTACCATTGCCTTGAAGGAGAAACACATCACAGACATGGTGTGTCCTGCCTGTAGCCGTCCTGACCTCACCGATGACACGCAGCTGCTCAGCTACTTCTCCACCCTCGACATCCAGGTACTGCAGTCTCTAGGCCTCGGTGCCCTGAGCTTCCTCAGGAAGCCCATCTACCCACCACATCTGCATCCCGTCCCCAGCTTCGAGAGAGTCTGGAGCCAGATGCCTACGCACTATTCCACAAGAAGTTGACTGAGGGCGTGCTCATGCGGGACCCCAAGTTCTTGTGGTGTGCCCAGGTCAGTGACCCACCCAGAGGAGCTGGCTGGGGGGCCAGGGTGGTGCAGGCCAGGCCTCTGACAGCTTTATGCTCTTGCGCCCACAGTGCTCCTTTGGCTTCATATATGAGCGCGAGCAGCTGGAGGCGACATGTCCCCAGTGTCACCAGACCTTCTGTGTGCGCTGTAAGCGCCAGGTGAGGCACATCTTTTCTTTCAGGCAAGCACGCCAAGCTGCTGCCAGGTACTGTGTTAGTTTCAGAGGGTGTGCTGGAGAACAGCAGGCGTGAGCTCTGGGCTCCGAGAGCTATCAGACGAGTCAGGGACACGGCATGGGAAGGAAGGATGAAGGAGAGTGGGCAGGTGAGAAAAGGTGAAAGAGGAAGGAATGGGGATGGAAGGAGAGAGGACACAGCTCTCCACAGGCATAAATTCTGTGAAAAACAAATAGGAACCCAAGATTAGGAAAATCAGAATGGCCCAACTTAGAGTAGAGAGGTCAAACAAGTAGTCCCTAAAATGGTTTAATTGAAGCTCAGACCTGCAAGTTGAGAAGCCACATTAAAGAATATTCGGAACAGAAGGAACAACAGGTGGGAAGGTCCCAGTCAGAGAAAAGCACAAAGTGGCCTAGGAGCGAGGGTGAGTGGCCGGCGGCCGACCAGCAGTCGGTGTAGGTGAGGCCTTGGGGGCAGATGAGGGAGGCTATCGCCTTTCATTCTAAGACTGAATTTGTCTTAGACACCAAAAACTTGCATCTTTCTTTGAGACACAATCAAAAATGAACCACCGAGACCCTCTTACCAAACCTCAAAACTAGAACACTCACAGCACCCTTGAAAGTGCCTGGCCTGTGCTTTTCAAGGCACTTTAGTTGTAAGGTAGAGAAGGGACCAGAGAGGAGCAAGACTGGAGGTGGGGAAACTAGTAATCAAAGCAAATAATTGAAGACCTAACCTGGCTGGGGTCAGGTGGTCACAGTAAGGGGTCACGTTGAGACGGGTTTGATTGTGGGGGACATGGAGTAGTGTGAGGAAATGCAAGAATCAGGGCTGGCCCTTCAGTTTGGGACTTGAGTCAGTGTCTGAGTGACATAAGCCTAGAAGCCCCGGGTATATGGGGAGGGGCCTGGATGAGCTCCATGTGAACCCAGCTTGCTTCCTTCCGGCAGTGGGAGGAACAGCACCGAGGCCGCAGCTGTGAGGATTTCCAGGACTGGAAGCGCAACAATGACCCAGAATACCAGGCGCAGGGCTTGGCAATGTACCTCCAGGAAAATGGCATTGGTGAGGCTGCCCCTGCAAGCCTGTAGTCTCTTCACTGCCAGGTGCTCTCTCTTGAGGGCCTTAGAGGAGGACCCATCCCAGACTGACCTGCTGTCCCTTGCAGACTGCCCCAAGTGCAAGTTCTCATACGCACTGGCCCGAGGAGGCTGCATGCACTTTCACTGCACCCAGTGCCGCCACCAGTTCTGCAGTGGCTGCTACAATGCCTTTTACGCCAAGAATGTGAGCCCAGAGCATGCCCAGGGATGAACGTGTGGGAGGGCTCCACTGGGGATGAGGGCAGAAGCCAGTGAGGAGGGGCCGGGGGAAGGGATGACGAGGCCGTGGGTGTATAGCACCTCTCTCTGTCCCTTCTCCTCCTTTGCTTGCTCTAGACCTTCCAACGTCTCCATCTCCCTGCCCCCAAACCCCTCACACCGGGGTTCCTGAACCGCCAAGTTCCCAATAATCTCCAACTTTCCCTCTCCCATCCGGGTTTCCACCAGAAATGTCCAGACCCTAACTGCAGGGTGAAGAAGTCCCTGCACGGCCATCACCCCCGAGACTGCCTCTTCTACCTTCGGGACTGGTCTGCTGTCCGGCTCCAGAAGCTGCTACAGGTCAGGGCTGGCCAGCCTGGCTGGGCTTGCAGGTTCCCCAGGAGAGGAGGGCCAGGGTGGCCAGAAGGGAAAGGCCAGTGCTGGGAGCCTCACTGAGCTGGCAGCAAAGCCTAACGCCCACCTGTCTGCTCCTTCTCAGGACAATAACGTCATATTTAACACAGAACCCCCAGCAGGGGCGCGGGCAGCTCCTGGAGGTGAGTGTTAGGATGACCTTGGACAGACCTTGAGCCTCTGGGGGCCTTGTCTCTCCCTCTGTAAAGTGGGGGCCACTTCCGTCTTGCAGCCATTAAAGGACCTGGTACCTCCACACTAATTTCCTTCTCCCAGTGCTAATAATGATTTATCAATTTACTTGAGTATTTAATGAGGCCTGCTAGTTGCACTGTTTTAGTTGCACTGAAAGTTGTCACATATGGTTCTAATCTTCCCCCCTTGTTACTCTCCATAGAGAAAAACTGTCACAGCATAACTATGCAAGATCTCAGTCACAATCAGAAGAGCTGTCTCAGGCAGTGAGTCTGGGCTCAAAGCCAGCATGGCTAAAAGCAGGGCAGTGCTGTGAGGGCAGACCTGAGTTGCCCACTCACCCATCAGCACCTCTGTCAGAGCAGGGCTCCGGTCCTCAGGCCCCCCAGGTCGCCGCCTCCCGTGCCCGTCAGTCCTAGTTCTCCTGGAGCTTTGTGGTCTGTGGCTTCCTTCCAACCAAGAGTCCCTTCTTTCTCTTACCTTAGGTGGCTGTCGAGTGATGGAGCAAAAAGAGATTCCCAGTGGGCTCCGGGATGAAGCCTGTGGCAAGGAGACTCCAGCTGGCCATGCTGGCCTCTGCCAGTGAGTGCCAGACGGAGCATAGCGCATGGTGCTGGGGTGGTGGGCATACGAGCACTAAGAGTTGGTCCAGGGAGTAAAATAAGTGGGTCTCTGCAAGCAGTAGATCCTGCAAGGAAAGGGAAGGAGAGTGTTCTCTGGGCAAGGGCATGGATAGGTGGTACACAGGGTGGCAGTGCCCACATGTACACGAGTCTTATTGAGACCTGCTAGTTACGCTGTCGAGGTAAGGGCTGTCCGTGTTGTCTCTCTGAGGATGGTGTGCCCAGTAGGGCGCTAGGTACAGATATTCAGTGCTCTCCTCTCTCCAGGGCACACTACAAAGAGTACCTAGTGAGCCTCATCAATGCGCACTCACTGGACCCAGCCACCCTGTATGAGGTGGAGGAGCTGGAGACGGCCGTGGAGCGTTACCTGCACACGCGGCCCCAGCCCCTGGCTGGGGAGGATGCCCCCAGCTACCACAGCCGCCTGTTACAGGTAAGGGCTCAGCCCAGCCTCGCCTCTGACCCCACACTCTAGAAGTTCCTGGTCCAGCCTGTGTCATCGCCGCTTCAGACTTCCAGTGTCGTCATCTTCTCTCTCCTACAGAAGCTGACCGAAGAGGTGCCCTTGGGACAGAGTATCCCCCGCAGGAGGAAGTAGCTGGCAATGTTCCACATGAGCGTCCCGTGGCTGGACTCCCTCAGGAACAGCTTCAGCACCAATAAAGAGGCATCTTCTTGCCCAGGCTTCTTGGTGGTCCTTCTTCCTGGCCCCACCATTTGGGGGCCTCAGGGAAAGGGTGGGGGGCAGTGAACAGACTTTCGCTGACAGGGTGCCCTGCAGCCCACCACCTGACCCTCCTTCGACTCAAGGCCAGGAAGGAATTGATGCCTCGGATGGCTAAAGAAAGCCTCCCTGTCCAGCCGTCGGTGTCTTCCTTCTTTGCCTTTCCGCTTCCTTTCATCCAGTGCAGCTGATATTTGAGGGCGCCTGCTAGGAACCAAGCAGACACTATAGGGAAACAGATGCACTTGGCATCCAGCACTATCCAGAGGCCTCGGGCCAGACCCCAGGACCTTGGTGCCTCCCTGCAGAAGCAGCACCATCAGAGGGGTCAAAGCGAGCCAGCGTCTTAGGGAGGCCAGGAAATGAGCCCCAGCCGGCAGGGGGCGCTGCCTGCACGGACAGCGGCGTCTGACAGGGAGCGCCTCAGATGCTGCTTCCCTCTAGCGGCCACCGGCTGCCTGGCAACGCTGATCACGTGATTTCTGGGAAACAGCCCTCCCCGGGAGAACTGAAACTTAAGGGTGGGGATCGTAGACGGGCTGTGAGACCAGGAACTGCCTAGCCAGCAGCTGAGTTGAGGTCAGCTGAGTTTGGGACCAACTGCACCGCAGCTCAGGTAAGATGGGCGAAGGGCAGGTCAGCCTGGGCCCAGGGCTGGCTGGAAGGTTCCGTGGGTTTGGAGGGAGGTGCGGGGTGGGCACCTCCCTGCTAGACAGGCTGTGAGCCAGGCGCAGGTTTGACCTGAGAGAGACCTCTTGGGGCTGCTGTCTCTAACCTTTAGGCAAAGGAGGGGAACACCTGCTGCTGGGTTGTGGGGGAAGGCTGTGGTCCGACTCCTAATGATCTTGCCTTCTGGCCCTGCCTACTTCAACTCCCTGCCCCACCTACCCATATGGGGCTGGGGGTCAAAGGACAAGTTGTAGGGTGGTGGGTGAAAATGGTTCCTGGGAAACTGAAGCCATTATAACTTCTGCAAAAGCTTGAGCAGTTACACAGGCCCTCAGCAGGAACAGAACCCCAAGAGAAGCCTGTCTTCCAAACGATAGTTTCCTAAAAAGTCTTACAATTAAGACCCAAGCCTAAGTTTTTTTCCTAGATGTCACAGGTGGGCAAAGTATAAAGAATGTATTTTTGGTAATTGACTGAAAACAGGAAAACAGTTTGGCCTCTGAGAATTTTCAGATACGTCTAGAAAGGAAAGAGGGTGGGATCTCTGGAGGCCTGGCCAGCATCCAGCCCTGATGGCCAGGGTCTCATGGATGTTTCCCCCAGAAGTGTTGATGCTGCTGAAGCTTCCTGCTGCTCTTACCCTCCAAGATGGCATCAGGCAAGGCACGCTCCACTCGAAAGCTCCGGAACTGGGTGGTGGAGCAAGTGGAGAGCGGGCAGTTCCCAGGAGTATGCTGGGAAGACACAGACAAGACCATGTTCCGGATTCCCTGGAAGCATGCTGGGAAGCAGGACTTCAGGGAAGACCAGGATGCTGCCTTCTTCAAGGTGAAAGGGCCTGGAAACTGCCCCTAGTGTGAGGGATGGGGTATGCACTGGTGCTCAACTATCAAGGGGTGATGGAGGCCTGGGTTTCAGATAAAGAGGAGATTGAAGGATAGAACAGTACCAGCTACCTAATTATCAGAGCCCTGTGCTAAATGAAAATGCAAAAACTGGGCCTTCCTGGTGGCGCATCTGTTTAAGCACAGCACTATGAAGCTATTGCAGGCTCTGCAGTATGAGTTGGATCCCCGGCCAGGGAGGTGGATCCACGTGCGCAGCAGACCTCTCCTGACCCGCCCACTGCTCCCCTCAGCAGTGTATTTCAGTAGGTCTGCTTATTCTGCTCCCCACTCTGTCGCTGGTGAATCCTCTAATCCCCCACACTTTTAGCCTGTACCCCAGTTCTGTATGCATAAATAAATAAATCTTTTTATAAGCAAGAAAATGCAAAAATTCTGAAGTATTTCAAGATGGCGAGGGCAGGACATAAAGCTTGCACAGGCTTTCCAGGCCACACATCCATGAGGCCAGCCTGATGGAGGGTCGCTGGGCCTCTAATACACTGTCATGTCTTTCTCTGTTTCCTAGGCCTGGGCGATATTTAAGGGAAAATACAAGAAGGGGGACATGGAAGGCCCTGCTACCTGGAAGACTCGCCTGCGCTGTGCCCTCAACAAGAGTCCTGAATTTGAAGAAGTTCCTCAGAGGGGCCGAATAGATGGCACTGAACCCTATAAGGTGTATCGGCTGCTGCCGCAAGGAACCCTCCCTGGTGAGGATCCCGGCCCAGCAGACTGGGAGGAGGGACAGAGATAGGGTCCCCCTAGGAATGCCAGGGCCCTCCCTCAGTCTGCACCCAATTCCCCTGCCTGTCCTTTCCCTTCATTACCCTCTCTTCCTACTTAGGACCCTGGCCTTTCTCTCTTTCTCTCAATGTTCCACAGCTCACCCAGAAGCCCAGAAATCAAAGCGACACCACAGTTCTGTGTGCCCTGAGCGGGAGGATGAGGGCGCCATGAAAAAGTGCAGACTCGGTTCCTCTCTGCTGCAGGACCCCCTCCAAAGGGTAAGCGCTGAGGAGGGACCCGGGTGGGCCCACAGGCAAGACAGTCACTAGGGGAGAGGCAGACCCACAGTGCACACTGTCTGCAGGAAGCAGTGGAGGCCGACGGGGGCGCGGGCCGCTCTGACTTTGGAAGCAGCAGCAACAGCAGCTGCAGCAACAGCAACAGCCCCGAGCCTCAAAAAGGTACCACCTCCCCGCCTTCTGTGCCATCCCATGCCATCCCACGAGCCCTGGGCACCCAGTCCCGTTCTGAATGTCCACCCTCCAGGTGCAGACACAGTCCACGCCTCTCTCCAGAGAGAAGACGCATGCCTGGAGCCTGTGCTCCTTCCGGAGTCAGGTACTTTCATTTCTCAGCCAGCCCTGCACCTGCCCTCCGGGTCTTCCTGGGGCCCTGCATTGTTGATTCTGTCGGGGTTTGTTACAGATTGGCCCCGTCAGACAAGAGGCACGAGTTTCTAGGCAATATACCCCGCAGACACTAGAAGCCTAGTGGCTTGCTTCTTGAAAGATCCCCTCCTCTCCTGTTTCTTAAATCCTCTTAGACACATTGATTTCTGTGGGTTAAGCAGAGGTCCAGTCTCTGGGACCTTCCTGTAAACTGCAAGACTCAGGCGGGAAGCCCCAGGGTTTGGGTGGGAATCTGGGTATCAGTTGCTCTCTTGAATGATGGGGCAGCCTGGCACCACTGTGCTAACCTTAGAAGCCTACCTGTACCTCACTTGGTTTCCCTCTCCGGGCCTCACCTTCCTTATCAGCAAAATAAGGACACTGGATTTGCACGGAACTCTTGTCCCTTTCCCCAGAGCCTCAAGCTGAGCAGGAGGACTACTGGGAAGAGATGCCGGTGCTGTGGGACCATCCTGTGTCCATAGACTACTCGCTGATGCTCACCTTCATCTACGGCGGGCGTGTGGTGGGGGAGACCCAGGTGCAGAGCCTGGACTGCCGCCTGGTGGCCGAGCCCACGGACACCCAGTGTGGCATGGAGCAGGTGGTGTTTCCCAAGCCGGGCCCGCAAGAGGCCGCCCAGCGCCTGCTGAACCAGCTCAAGAGAGGTGTCCTGGTGGCCAGCAACTCCCGAGGACTCTTTGTGCAGCGCTTATGTCCTATCCCCATCACCTGGAATGCACCCCAGGCCCCATCAGGCCCAGGCCCACATCTGCTCCCCAGCAACGAGTGTGTAGAGCTCTTCAGAACAGCCTGTTTCCGCAGAGGTGAGGCTGCTCTGGAGAGCGCCTGCGTCCCTAGCCACCCCTTACGCCCTGCCTCAGGCGGCTGCTCCACATGGCCAGGCCGGCAGCCCTCCTTTCCTGCCAAGACTGTGGAAGATGAGGCTGAGGGAGAGCCCATGAGTGTCACATCTCAGGGCACACGTCTCAAGGAAGTACACAATTAGCGAGGGGTTGGGGGGATGTATGCACCCAGACAGGTGCACACACTGCCACATGCATTCGGGAGAGTCAGCACGCGCAGCTCACCCTGCTCCCCACTCTCTGCAGGCACCCCCTTAGGTTGCCCCTCTCTCCCATCCAGCTGGGATTTTTCTTGACTCCACTCAGTTCTAAATCTGACTTTAGATTGAGATACAGAGAGTGTGAGTGTTCCCAGGACTATGGGTGCCCCAGCAAAAGGAGGGTGGAAGCAGACAATAAGAGGTGGCACGGGCGTTCCTGCAGTCAGGGCCACTCCCTACCAGGCTCCGGAAGCAGAGCCTGCAGAGCGGTGGTAATTAGCTGCTTCCAGGCGCTTGGTGCTCAAGGAAGGAGAGCCTTTTCCCACTTGCACTTGGCTCAGCAGCAGCTGGGATCTCAGCCATTCCCCTGACCCAAAGCAGCAGAGACCCTGCAACTCGGCCTTCAAGCAGCCCCTCCCCCCACTTCTTCCTCCATTATGGCTCCTCCCCATTCCCTGCCTGCCTGTGAGCCTCTTTGCCTTTGAGCCTCTTTCCAACATTTTACCTTTTCCTTTTAGACTTGAGGAGGTTCTCCCAGGGCCTGGGTCCAGCGCCCAAATTCCAGGTGACACTGAATTTCTGGGAGAAGAGCCCTGGCCCCAACCACACCAATGATAATGGTCTGATCACAGTGCAGGTGAGTCGGGCAGGGGAGGGACGGGGGAGTGGCAGAAGGGGCCCCCGCCTGTGCTCATGATGCCCTCCCCCACCTCCTCCGGTACAGATGGAACAGGCCTTTGCCCGACACTGGCTGAAGGAGACTGCAAAGGAGCAGGCAGCTACGCTGTCCTTGGTGCAGAGCTTGGAGGACCCGCCGTCCTGCTCGCCTCTCTTCTCCCTGTCTCCTTTGAGTGAGACTGTTTACACTCCCTGTTCAACTACCTCCCTCGGTGATGACTCTCGGTGTTGTCTACAACAGTTACCTCCTTGAATGTTTCATGTACCTTGGCTGATGGGAAACTCAAGGATGACTTTTACCCTTGTAAAAAAAAAAATCTTTGAAATATGCCCTCTTTCATGTCTGAGGACCTGGGAAAGTGGAGATAGTATGGACTCAAGGGACCTTTCCTTCTTATCCCAAGTCTGAAGGCAACACTTTATATTTGTCTTTCACTAAGGACTTCAAATTTTACTGAAAGAGAACGTATTGTCTGTCTTTTTGGGAGAAGAAGGAATCGCGGGGAAATGAGAAGATGTATACTTGAGAGCAGTGCATTTGGCTTCTCTTCCTGTGGACACCCCTGGGCCTCAACTTTCCCCTCCCTACAGGTGTGGCCAGGAAGCTGTCTGGACTTGGGGAATTCTGACCCTGACTCTCTCCCTCTGGGTACCAGCTTTAGGGAGAGGGTTGGTGTTTGTGCCAAGAGGGATGCTGAGCTGATAGCCACTGTCACCACCAGCTGCCCAGTTCTATGTTAGAGCCCTCTGATTCGGTCTTAACAACAGGCCTAGGACTGGAGTCTTAAAGGAGAGCTTGAACTTGGTCTGAAACTCTGGAGCAGAGACCCTGGGGCCTGGAGGTGGAGTGGAAATCAGGGAGTTGTCTAGACATTCATTACTCAGCACCTCTTTCCCCAGCACTCATCTGCTCGGCCACGACTGAGGGGTACTCCAAGCTAGTTCTCTTGTACTATCTGAAGCCCAAAAAAGACAATCTGGCCTAGACTGCCATGTCTCCAGCACTCTTCACTGAGGTGTGAGGGCTCCAAGTCAGCCGGCACTCCTCTCTCTCACCTGTATGTCTTTTACCACCAAACTAGAAGTTCTTCACAAGGCCACTTGGCCCCCCACCTATGTATACTCACTTCCACCAGACTGTTCAGGTCAGACTCTGCTTCTCTGACCGCCACAGCCTGTAGCCTCCAGCTTCCCCTTCCCAACAAGACCCCCGGTTGGAGAAGGGGCTCCCCAGACTGGCTTCCCCCTCACCGTGTCAGCCTTCTGTGGCTCACCTGTCCACGATCAAGCGCAGATGCCTGGAAGCTTGAGGATCTTGCCATCTCTTTGACAAATTTCAGAGCAGCTTTTGGACCTTTCTGTCTCCTTGGAACTTCCTTTTCTTCAGTCTGGCCCATCCTCCTGAGAAGGCATCTGCTGTGAAGAAACCAGGCACTGGGTACACAACAAGCGCTGTCTGATCTGCGGAAGCCCCTCCTACATACTGGTGCCCGCTGCTGACTTCGTTTTCCTTCACGCCCCACATGCAGTCTGTCAGAGATCCCCTCACAAACCCTTCCAAATCTAACCAGGATCGACCACTTTTCTGGCCCTCCACTGCTGTCGCTTTGGACCAAGTTACCATCATCTCTCACCTCTTCTTCCTGCTTTCTTCTACATCTATTCTGCTCCTACCCCTGTGCCCTATCAGTGCTCCACACAGGAGAGACCTCACACTTACGTCTCCTTCTGCCCCTCTGCTCAAAGCTCTCCCCTGGCTCTCAGTTCATTCAGGGAGAAAAAGCCAGGTCCTTAAAATGGCTTCCAGAGTCCTTGTGATGGGGCCTCCAGCCTCACCCCTAGCTGATCCCTTTGTCTAAAAATGCTGTTCCTTCAGCGGGGCTCGTGGCTTCTGGCTCTTTCCCAGAGGGCTTCCCTGAGCGCCCTTCAGCGGCAGCCTGTGCTGTGCTGTGCTCCTGCGCTGCCTCATTTTTCTTCAGAGCAACAATCATAGCCCTCGTCTCCTCAGTTATCTCTCCTTCCCTGTTCCCTGAGAAAGGGGACTCGTTTTGGTCATTGCCTGCTGGAAAGAACATTTGTTGAGTGACTGGAGGAATGAATTACTGTACCCTCTGCTTGCCTCTGAAACTGGCCCTCAGCACCTTAGACCAGGTGTCCCCACTTCTGCAAGTGTGCCCTAATGTGAACACTTGCAGGCACTGACAGCATTCGTACAGTGATTGAAACAGTTTTGGAATGTCATATAGAAGGTCCTGAGATGCTCCTCATTTCTGTCTGCTAGCAGCAATTCAGCCCAGCAGAGTGCAATAGGAACTGGGAACATAGAATTTCAAGAGAGCAGAGTTCCCAACCATGCTGTCACTACGTATCTGTATGGCCTGGGAGAAATTCTATGGGCATTTTTTCATCTGTAAAGAGAAGGCTTAGACTAGGCTTTGAAATCTTCAGCCTATGGTTATAAATTTAGGGTGATTGCACCTTCAGTTGACAAATGAGAATTAGGTGCCAGGCACCAGTTGATAAAACAAGACTCCAATTTTAAGAGCTCATAAACTAGAAGCACAAGATGAAATTGCATCTGTGTGCACAGGACTTGGTGATAGCACACAGGTGGGAAGTCCATGGGGATTACATCCAAGATGAAAAAAATGTATAAAATGAAGACTGATGTTTATATGTATGTATGTATATATATATATATATATATATAAATAAAATTTTAAAAATTGGGTCTATTGACCCTTGTGAGTTGAGTCTTGGGCCTCCCCGGTGGCACAGGGGGTTAAGTTTCAGCACTATCAAGCTATTGGCAGCCATTGCAGTTTGAGTTCGATTCAGCCAGGGAGCTGACCCACAAGGCTCCAGCAGACCTTTCCTGTCTCACCCGCAGCTCCCCTGCACAGTGTATTTCAGTACATCCGCCTGTTCTGATCCCCACTCTGTCTCTGGTGAATCCTCTCTCTCACACACACATACATACTGTACCTCTGGCCTAGAGCCCAGCTCTTGTATGCGTAAATTTAAAAAAATAAACAAATCTTTAAAAAGGTTGTCTTGGGCCCTCCCTGGTAGCACAGAGGGTTGAAGCTCATCACTGCAAGCAGGCTGCAGCCACTTCAGTGGTCCTTAGACCCCCAGCTCCGGGTGTGACCCACATGGCGC